TATATATATATATATATATTTAATATTTGATAGTGAAGTAATTTATTACTCATCCATGCCAATATCGAGTAAGCATTGTTTTGTTTGATTTATGAAAGTTACATTTTTAAAGTTGAATATACACATTTTTATAGTTTAATAAGTTATTTTTTTTAACGAAACTTTTTTTCGGAGGGAAATGGGCAGTCATTAAAAGTTTTGCTTTCATAAATTCCATGTTGCAGCAGCTTATTGAAGGGATTTAAAGCAGAAATTCACCGTTGAGCTTACAAAAATATTATATTTTAGATGTTTTACTTTTAAGTATCCGCTATATCTATAAGCAACAAAAAAAAAAACATTTTCTGAGCTCGTGCCCATTTCAGTCCAATTTGAAATTTAGATTAATTTCCAACAATTATGTATTATACAAAAAATAATTTATCAATTAGATAAAAAAAAATTTTTACATGAATATTAACATTTATTTATTAATGAAAAAAAGCTGTAGACGCTCAAAAATAAACCGGCAGTGCCAGTTGATTATAATTTTTATCCTTGTTATTTTTAATATTGTACATTGTTACTTTTCTTCCCAAATATTACCATTTATTGCATTATAAATGTTCTTAATGGTTAATAATATAAATTATTATAATTATAAGAATAATTATTGAAACACACGCAGATATTAAATAATTATTTATAATGATATTAAATAATTGAAATAATATATGACGCACTTTTAGGAGCCTTTATTAGAGTATTAGAAAAAAAGTGAATAGTATTAATTATAATTGAATGGGGCAAATTAATGAAAAATATTAGTTAATTTTAATTTTAAATTAAGAAGTAAAAAAAAGTTTACTGATAAGGACGTTATATAAAATTGTTTAAAAAAACGCAAAGGCAAATTTTTCCTCCTTGCTATTTGTAAAATAATTTTATATTTAAATTAATTTATTTACAAGTTCATATTTATATTATTTGTTACGAAACTGTTATTATTTAGCAAGTTTGAGGATAAATTTATCTTTACATTTCAGAAATTCAAAAAGTTGATGTATATTATCAAAATTTTAATAAATTTATTAATCAAATTAGTTAATAAATATTGAATATTGTTAAAAAGTATATATTAAATAAAATTAATAATAATTATAATAATAATAATAATCAATGTAAGATTATTTGTATTAGAAAACAACACTGCCAGTTGCCATGGTATTACGAATTTAAACAATAAATAAATAAATTCAATTTTATGGACGATAAGGTACTTTAATATAACGTACGTATTAATAAATATACGCATTGCAGAGCTCTTGAGCGATAAAAATGATGCAAAAAGCGGATAATTTGTTGGACGAATTTTAAGGATAAATTTATTTTGAATCGAAGTTATGTAAATTAATTTTAATTTTAAAATCGTTTAATTAATTAAGAGATTTTTTTTCTCGTTGTATATAGTGACATTTTTTTTTTAGTGTCTTTTTTTCTTAAACTTTCAAAATTACTTAAAATCACTTTTTATGTGAGTTTTCTACGATGTATTATCTGATTTTTGACATTTTCTTTGTAATTCAAGGGTTCTTGTATATAAATAAAATAAATAATGATCAAAAATAAAGAATTTCTAGGGAAATAAAATTTTTTTGTTAATAAATAGTTAATTTCAATAAAATTGAGTCGATTTAAATACAATAAAAAATATTTCTTTTAACAAAAATAATAATTAATTTTCTTCTCAAAATAATTCTAGTATGCTCACTACAAGGACATTAAATATACTTAATATAAATCGTGAATGTTATAAAATAAGTGATTAATCACCGAATAATGGCCGAAAAGTAATTAAACAAATAAAAATTATGAATAATTAACGAAAACAAATAAAATTTTGAATTCAGTAAATTATTCAATAATGTTATATATAAATATAAATATATACAAGTGGACAAAATATACGTATCAAAAGATGTATACTTGATATATAAATGGATTAAAAGTCGCAAATTCAAAGAATAATTATAATTAATTTATTGAATAAGTCAATAGTAATAAATCGAATTATATAAAAAAAATTTTATTTATAATTGTGTTTAATTTTTTTTATCTATTATTTACTTTACAAAAGTTATTACACTTCAACTTATTATTTATAGATTAATTATGTACATTTTATTAACAAGAAAAGAAAATTATAAACTCCAAATAGTTAAAATATTTTTAAAGCAGGAGTGAAATACGTAATCCACCTCGTCAAGTTCACATTTGTTTTAATTATATCAAATCATAGTTTTATCAATTTATGAAAAAAAAAAAACGGGTGGAATTTAAATCCAGATTTTTAGCTCAATACAAAAATTATTTTAATTTGTTACTAAAAATTAGATAGTATTTCTATAAATATGATACAAAATTACATCCAAATTTACATTATACTTTTTTAGTATTGTTGATTTAAAAAAAAAATTTTTTTTTTAACTAACTTCAGATTATGTAAATTAATTACATAATACGGAAATATACGAAAAAAATCATTTTATTTAGATAAAAACGTTACTAAATTCTAAAGGGTAAAAATTATTTGCTAAATATTTTTTATAAAATACTTTGAGTCTTTTTATTGAGTTTTAATCAAAATCAAAATGAAAAATTTTAGAAATAAATATAATAAATTTTTTAATTTATTGGAGCATAATTATTTTACTATAAAATTTTAAGAAAATAAAAATGACTTTTTCTTAAAATTTTTTTTATTTGAAAAATTTCATCTGGGTCCTTGACGTCTGTTTTGATTTTTGAAAAATTTATTATCATTATTGTTATCATTTTTACTACTACCACTATCGATTTGGTTTACATTATTACTTGTGTAGTTTCTCTTATTACCATTATCACTTCTATCTTTTGTATCTATATTATCATAGTTTTCATTACTATTAGACATCTCAGAAGAAAATAATGTTTTAAATAACGGCCCAGTATTGATAGCAGGAGGTTTAACTTTTAAAGGATTTTTGTATGTTCTTTCAAATTTGATTTTCCCCACAAAAATATCAAGCAAACCACGACGGTAATAATAATTACCTCCATCCATAAGCGATGCAGTTCTTCGTACGTTGCTGGATAATGACAATGTTTCGGTAACAGATACATTTTTACTTACCATTAACGATGTTTCTAACGGGTTACATATATAAAGCCCTGCATGGTTAGAATGTGGCTTATCAATAATTTTCCCTTCGCGTAACGATATAGCTAATGATGCAAAGTCAAATTCCGAATAAAAACAAAAGAAATCGAATAACAACTCTTCTAACGATAAAGATAAGCACTTTGATGGAGGCCATTTTTTTATATCACGTAAAAATGTGCAGTCCACTGTAGTATCTGCAACCCGCACATCTGACTTTCCTAAAAAACAATAGAATATTATTTTTAAAATTTTCTCGAAGCCATTTAAATCATTTATTTGAGAAACCCCTAAGTCAAAAATACTAAATTTTTCAGGAGAAGCAAAAACATTTTTCTCCGTTAAGTTTGCATTAACATCATGAACCAATGATTAATAATAATAATAATAATAGTATCCCGAAAAAATATTCGAGCATGAAAAAATTTAATTGTTAATTACTACTATTCATAATAATGATTTGAAGTTGATTGACTTATGAATTTTTCTCTGTCAATCATTTATTATATTTATAAAATAAAGTACAAAATTTGTATTGGAACTACAATTAACGAAAATTATAATAAATCATCTATTTTTAAAATCAAATTAGTGAACTGAGAGCCAACAATAAAGATTGCAGTCAACTAGTCAGACTGACAACATTCCGAATTAATAAATTACTAGAACTTAGAAAGTAAATATTAAATGTAATTTAAAATAATTAATTTTACAAATTTTAAAGTTCCGAAAAATATAATCTTAAATAAAGAAAAAACTAAAGCTATGTTAATAGAACCTTTCAAAGTCACAAAGTCTCAATAAATTAAAAAACATAACAACGAAAATTTATACGCCAAAATGAATGAACAGATGAACACTCATTTAACCGAAAAATGTAAATAATTTTATAGTTAGATTAGAATTTTTTTAAATCAATTATTTTAACTAATTTTAAATCAATTAATTTTTTAAAAGCATGTATGGAAAACACTCAAATTTCATGCTTGTAAAGGTAGACCATCTAAGAAAAATTTCCAATTTTTTGGATGAGTAATTTTCGGCCGAATCATTATTCGGATAGATGAGTATTCGGATGAATACACGTCGGAACGAACCTTTTTCGAAATCAAATTAATTTTAACTCTTGAGGAATATAAGATTTATATTTACTTATATTCGATAACCCGGTGTTTCATAATTTACAAAATTGTTTTCCGGCTGGTATTTCTATTTAAGCTAATGTATTTTATAAACTTTGAATGTAGCGGAATTTTAAATTTTCTAGAGTTTTAATAATTCGGAATGTTGTCGATCTGACTGGTTGACCGCAACCCAACAATAAAACAACATTTAAATTTATCACAATCTAACTTTATAAAACTAAAATTGCAAAAATTATTGAAATCAAAGTATTTAACAGTAAATATAATATATTTTTATTTGGTTATCATTAATTTCAGAATTTAAATCAGTTAAATCAGAGTCAACAGTAAAACATATTTTTAATTTTAATCCATCAAGCAAATATTGTAAAACTCATTAAAATTCAAGTATTTAACTGTATATTTAGTTTATAATTATCTAATAATCAATCATTTTAAAATTAAAGTCAATGAAATCACATCAAACAATAAAACAATAATTTAATTTAATTTTTTTAAACTCATACTGCGATAATTATTAAAATTCAAGTATTTTGCATTGAACTTAATTTTTCCGCTAAGAAGAAGTTTAAAAAAAAAAAAGAAATTTATTTTTTGAATTTTGAACTTGAATATTTATTCGAAAAACCCTATAAGTCACTGACTTATGGGGTTTCTCAACTAAACGAGATTTATATCAACCGATTGGTTAAGTCTTGAACACGGATTTTAATATTATTTGGTGCTGGTATAAATGAAGGGAAATTCAAAGAACCGAAAAATGCAATAAACCCGATTTTGGAAAAAATATGACTTATGGGATTTCTCAAATAAACGATTCATTTATTTGAGTGAGATAAAATACTTACTTGCATGACGGTAAAGATAATTAATGGACGGCAGAATTCCTTTTTGTTGTAAATAAAATAATACGAGTAATGTGAGTGAAAAATTAGTGATCCATGGTCCAGGTGATCTACTATTAGTCAAGCCGACAAATGAAGCCCAGAGTCTAACAGTATAAACCAGAGGCCTTACTTTATCATTGAACTCACCAAATAAATACAGTAATTCCGACATGTAAATAGCTGTTGAATTGGTGATGCTTAGGTCACATTCCATGCCGGTATAAACATGATCAAAGGAGACAATTGGAACACGCGCCTTGAGTATGCTTGCTACTCTTGAGACGCCCGGAATAGCAGTACGCATTAATCCAGATATTGAATCTAATAAACGTATCATTGGTTCCCGGTGATCGTATTTTGCTTCCTTTGTGTGAAACACTACCCGACTTGTTGGTGATCCCGATTTTATTCGTAAATTAATTGCTAAATCGAGATCCGCGTCACTTTTACCAAACCCATTAACAGATGAACCAAATGGTAAAACTGTTGAATTCGGAAATAAACCGGATAAACTTGATTCTATTTGATTAGCCACTAGAAAACGTAATCGTACATCGATATCCTGTAATTTGATATTCTCATAAATTAACATCATTTGTTCAGACACTGATCTATCTACACTTATTAGTTTTTTTATATATTCATTTGTTATAGCTTTATTTGGATTATGAGTGGGGTTTTTTAGCGGCGGTATCGTATTATTTTTTTCATTTTTTGGTAATGAACTCGATTTTTGCCGCTGCTCCTCGCGAAAATATAAGATTTGTGAACGAGCTGGCATGACGTCATTAATGTCCAAGTGTGTTGCTTCTTCCATGAACGATTGAAACGATGATAAATGTTGAAACTCAATTAAGAAAAAATTCTGAAATAAATAATTATTTATTATTAATACTATTTGGTTGTTTGATGCAGATGATAGGTTGATTAATTTTTACTTTGTGTAGGGTTAAAATTTTTGTTATCTTTAATAGAGTAATGGGCGTTTTAATACCGTAATTAGATAATAATAATAACAAACAATTGTTTGTTTATTTCTCACGTACTTTTGTACGCAACTTAAAGAAATTAATATTATTTTATGGAGTGTTAATTCGAGTTTCTAATAAATACAACTAGCAACCTTGCAGTCACTATGTGACTACCATGACTTGTGAACTATAAATAAATAAAATTTTGCTTTATTAAATAATGACTTTTGTTAAATTGCACTGTACTTTTTTAACTATTGACGTTTTTAAAGATATAAGCTCATCCCGATGTTACTCTTATCAAGAGCTTTTATTTGAGTACCCACATGCATTTTGATATATTTTTCATATACACATATGAGTGATTCTTTGTAAGGAAGTCTTAAATCTGTACAAAGTTGTCCGACCAAATTATTTTTGATTTTATTAGAAAAAAAATTAACAAGGGCTACAAAACTATCAGCTTAATGATAATAAATAAACAGCCAAATTAATTTTTGTTTTTTTTTATATTTTTGTGTCATTTGCCATATAACATCACAGGGGACTGCTTGCCAGAGGACTATTTTTTTTTATCAAATTGAGAAAAATCAAGCAAACTATTTCAATGCATTCAACTTTTCAAGTTCTCAATAAATGTTTACATTAATTAGAATAATATTAAGACTTATGGATCCATTTTTATAAATAAATTATAAATAAAAATAGCTGCCAGGGGACTGAGTTTTGAAGTGGCCCAGACACATATTTCCAGCACAAACGGTGCTTTGATACTAAATAAAATGGCGATAAAGCGCTAACAGCCCTATGGTTATTAACTTAAGGCTAGTTAGATCCTTATAAACCTTACAAAAGGTAAAATAACACGCTGGATTTTTTTTTGGCTTCGAACTTCTGGCAGGGGACTGTTCTTAAAATGCCTGGGAGAAACTTTGGTTTAATGAATTTAATAAAACAAATTAATTTTCGGTACTTTTTATCGAAGAAGATCGTTAGTTAACTAATTAAGTTTATAAATATTATGGACCAAATTATATATTATAGACGAATGACTTAAAATTTAATCTTGAAGTTTTAATTTTGGGAATGGGACAGCCCAAGGGACTGATATTTCGGTGGTTCACGAATTTATAGAAAAAAAAAACAAAATTTATTTCATTTTAGTTTTCAATGCTCCAAATAGAAATGTTCTTTTAATTTCGTAACAAATTTTTTTTAGTAACAAAATAACAATTTTTCCAATAAAAAAATGCCTGGGACAGCGAAAAACATCCTTACAGAGAATCACCCATATATATATATAATACATATAAATATATGAAAAATTGATCTGGGTACTTAAATGAAAGGTCTTGATGAGTGTAACGCCGGGATAAGCTTATCTTTAAAAATGTCAATAATTCACGAGATATAAAGTCTTTTCTTAATTATGTATCTAGAGATAGAGCATTTCCGAATGCAGCCTAAATACTGATCATCATAAATTGAATATTGGTGAGAGTGATATGAAACCTTGAAACGGCACCAATTCAAGTTAAGACTTTTCCAATGATACCAAATTTAACCATAAAAACCCATTTTATCATATAAATACACTGGCCACAAAATTTTTCTTATTCTCTTAGGGCCAGTTTTTCAATCCGAGATAAAATTTTATCTTATTTGATAAAAATAAATAATTCAGCACAATGATATTGCGTACGAGTAGTTCTCCCTGAATTCAGTCACTTACTTTTAATTAAAATAAATAAACATTAGCCGCATGTCACAGAAATATTAATCTCCAACTGTGACAACTTGCTGACTGTAAATAAATAAAATAAAAATTAGGAAAACGGATGATCCTGAAGGCCATCTCTATGACTTCCCGCTAATTCCATATATAAGCGCTTGAAATTGAATTTGTAACGTTATCAAGCTCTTCAAGCTCCAAATTACAATTTATGTGTTATTTTGAGCTCTCCGAGCTCAAAGCGGTCGCTGTTCTATGCTTTTGAGCTCTTCGAGCTCATATCTTGCGTTTGACATATCTATTAATAGTCTATAATTGTGTTAATTAATTTAAAAACAATTTAAATGACACAACAAGAGGTTATTATTATTTTTATGATATATGTATTTATTTTTTATTCAAATAAATGACCAAATTCATAGAGAACTAACTGAGAGTAATATCACGTCGCTAAATTATTTTTTTTTTTTCATAATATTGACAGTACTTTTATCTCGGATAAAATTTTATCCCGGATTGAAAAACTGGCCCTTAATAATGTAGATTATTGTTTACATGCTTTTATTTATAGGCCCCGAAAAATTATTCTTTTGTTAATACTTCAGAATGATAAATATCACTGCTAAACCTAGAGTTAATTATATATGTTAATTAATTTAGCATATATTTAATAATTTAAAAAATTTTATAATAAATAAATTATGGCAAAAAAAATTGAAGTAGAAATTTAAAAAAATAAAAAATGCAATTTTTTAAAAATAATTTTTTGGAACAAATTTTTTTGATAAATAAAATTAAAAAATTGTTAAGTAACTGCTAACTTTAATGTCGTATATTATTTTTTAATTTTAAACTCTTCGTACTTTTTAAATTAATTTCTAAAATTGTAAATATAAAAAAAAATTCAATTAGCGAGTTGTCAAAAGCCAAAAGAAAAAAATGTAATACCCAGAAATTTACAAAATAGTTGACATTTTCGCGTCTACCTCAACCATAACTTAAATAATGTTTCTAATTTCTCATTTGATTAAAAAATAAATGAAATTCACCGACCTGCTGATGATACTTCTGCCATTGTCAATTATTTTTTTCAACTACTAGTTTTTACATTATAAATACTCACTGGCCTCTTATCTACATCATTCAGCGAATAATGTCGTATGTACTGAATAGGTCCAAAAGTTTGACAGTATGAATATAAATCTTCATAAGATTCTGCGGATTTAACTTGAACAATAACTGATTTTTTGGCTTCCCACTTGCGTTGTAATAAAAACTTGTCAAAAAGTCCAAATGATTCAACATCTTGTGCCCCGTGATTATTTCTTCTTTCATCTAAAAAAAAAACATTCGCAATATTAAACTTCAAAAACTTATATTGGAAAAACATTTACCTTGAGAATTTTCGGCGTCATTTTTTTGGTTATAATCAGCAGTCAGTGTCCCGAAATTCTGTGAAGTGGTTAAATTATTTTCTGTCAGAACAGGTTTGCGCGTAATCACAATTTGTTTTGATGAATTGATTAGTAATTTTTGGTGATATTTATTTATAAGTGATAAAAACGATTTATTAGATGATGCACGTATGAACAGTGCCATTTTTTATTTTTATTTTGACCCACGTGCGTTTACTATAGCATATCTACAGAGCTACACTGTTATATATATTATTTTGAAGAATCTTTACTTATCGACTGATGAACATCTTCACTTCTAGCTTATCAATACTAAATGTAATCAAATTTTATAATTTTTTTTTTTCATTCCTTGTGCATCATTAGAGATTTGAATTTATGTAATTAATTGATCGAAAAATTTCAATGAAATGAAATACTAAAACACCCTTATTGTTTTTTATTAACTAGTTTTAAATTACAGTGAATAATTTTTTAAATAGTGGAATTACATTTCGCACAAAATTTCTTTTAAAATGTTCGATTTTATAATTACAAAATATTTGTTTGTAGTGAAAGAAGAAATTTCAATTTTCAATTTAGAATGTAATGACAAGAATTAAAAAAGCTTAAATATTAATTTAAAACAGAAAATTTTTTGTTTTAATGTGAGCTACTTAATATTTGAAAATTTAATTTAAATAAAAAATTAATCAGGAAAAAATGAGCCAGAGCGCTTTAATTTAAGGGGGGGGGGGGTAAAGTTAATTCGTACAAAAAAAAAGCATATTTTTGTGATTTTTTTGCGACGACGCAGTTAAAATCTCTCTATTAAATCTAATGGTACAGTAAAATATGACATTCGAAGAATATTATATAAAATTATCACGAAGAAATATTAAAAAATACGGCAATGGCAGCAATTATTCGGACGTGTCTCGAAAAAAAAGTAGAATTTCGGTGCCCCTCATAACTTGGTGCTGGATCATCTGAAATCAAAAAATGAAAGTTCATTCGTTAGTTAATAGTTCTCCTCAGGTAACGCTGGGAGGGTTTTTCGAAATTTCATTTTTTTACTTTTTCGGAATACTTTGAATAGAAAAACGCGATTTTTACGAAAAGAAATCAGCTAATTTGAGCCATCATGAAAACTATTAACTAACGAATGAACATTCATTTTTTGATTTCAGATGATCCAGCATCAAGTTATGTAAGCAATTCTACTTTTATTCTGAGGCACGTCCGAATAATTGCTGTATTTTTTAATATTTTTTCGTGAATATTTTATATAAAATATTCTTCGAATGTCATATTTTACTGTACCATTAGTTTTAATAAAGAGATTCTAACTTTACCCCCCCCCCTTAAAAACGTAATTTTCTTCGGCACAAATTAAAATAATAATAATAATAATAATAATATATAGTTTATTATTAGCTCTTGAGCTATTTACAAGTTACAATTTACAAGTTACACGTTTTTTATAATTTTGCTTATTAAATATTAAATACAATTCAATATTAAATACAATTTAACTTATCGAAGGGCCCAATATTCTCGATTATATATTTTTTAAGATATATTTTAAATATATGTATTCGATCTTCGTTTATAATTTCATGCGGAAGTTTGTTATACCAGTTTGCTCCTCTATAAACAATTGTTTTTTCCGCACTCAAAGTTCGGGTTTTTTCTATTCTAAGAGTAGATGTCTGTCTTGTTGCGTAGTGCGGTTTATTGAATTCAAATTCTTCAATTAGATATGTTGGTAATAGATTGTTAATTATTTTGTGTATAAATAGACATTGAAAACTATTTTTTGCCTAACTGATAACCATCCTAGAGTATCTAACATAGATTCTAATTTTGTGTATCTATTTACGCTCAATATAACACGCATTCCACGATTTTGTAATTTTTGTAGTTTATTTAATATATACTCATCATAGTTAAGCATTATTGTATTACAGTACTCAAAATGTGGGAATACTATAGTTCTGTAGATTTGACATTTTACATAACTGGTTACATTATTATTAAGTCTACTTATAAAATTAATTTTTTTAAGAATTTTGTTACTAATGTATTCCGCATTTTTTTTATAATTTAAGTTGTCATCAATTACAATACCTAGATACTTTGTTTCAGTTACATACTTTAAGATTTCATCATTAATCATTAATGTACACTTGTTTCTAATATTATTAACACGTTGATAATGTATTATCATGCAAACTGTTTTATTAATATTAATTTTAAGTTGATTTTAAGAAATCCAGACATATAATTTTTTTAGACATTCATTTAATTTTTTTTCAATAATAACTAGATTGCGTCCACAAACCGATATCATTAAGTCATCTGCAAATAATTTAATATCTACTTCGTCCTATTTCAAAATACTAATTAAATTATCTATATAAATATTAAAGAGAATAGGTCCCAACTTATAATAATAATAATAATAAAATACTACTTCTTGTTCCTCTGAAAATATACCTTGAAATTTTACTTTTTGACGTCTGCCTATTAAATAAGATTCAAACCATTTGTATACTGATCCTCTCATACCACTTTTATATAGTTTTATGAGTAATTTTTTTCGACAGATAGTCTCAAAGGCACGAGTAAAATCGATAAATACGACACCTGTATATAGACCTTTATCTAGATTTTTACGCCACTTAATCATAGAATGTTGTAAGGTGGCCTCACAAGAATGGCCCTTACGGAAACCTGACTGTTCTGGAGATATTATTTGATTTCTGACAATAAATTTGTCTAATTGTAATCTAACAGTTTCTTCTAGTATTTGTTCCAATACAGGTAACGTATTAATCGGTCTTAACTCGTTAGCTTTATTTGTTCCTTTTATTTTCTGTGATGGTATTATAGTTGAAATTTTCAGACAATCGGGTACCATTCCTAATTTTAAAGATTTTTGAATCATATTTAATATTATATCACTGTTGCAAGCCCAAATTAATTTGACAATACTAGTATTTAGATCATAACTCTTATTTTTATTACAATTTAATCCTGTTATGATTTTATTAAGTCCATTATAGCTTATTTCATCAAAATTTTCCCATATATTATTACAATCTAAATTATTATCACAGAAATTATTATCATTAATATAATTATAGTTAATATTGCACGATAAGTCTGAATTGTTATTTATACTACTATTATTTATAATACTAACAATGTCTTCGATACTATCTATAAAGTACTTATTTAATCTATTAGCAATTACTAACTTATCAGTTACAATTTCATTCTCAAATTTAACTTCATTAATACCTGATTGACTATTCTTATTACCAAGCAATTGCTTTAGTGTTTTCCACATTTGTTTGGGATCATTTTTATTACAATCTATTTCAGACTTATAGTATTCTAATTTATTATTTTTCAGTTGTTTTACAACTTCGTTACGCAAATTTTTGTATTTAGCAATATCAATTAGACTCTTAGATTCTTTAGCGTTTTTTAAGGCTTCATTTCTTTCTTTGATTAAACTAATGATTTTATTATCAATCCATGGTTTTTTTTGCCATAAATATTTAAATTTTTTAGTGCGTTTAGGAGCTAAGGAATCCAAGATATTTACTATTTTACTAATGACATTGACAACACATTCACTAAATACTAATCCGTTATTATTATCATCACAGTCAATTACTGTGAAGTCGATGCTTCTTAATTTAGCTATTTCTTTCTGAAATAACTTTTCATCAAAGTTATTATAATCTCTAAAAGTAATTATTTTTGATTTATTATTATTAATATTATAATCTTTATTATTCAGCTTTGCGTATATTATATTATGGTCTGCTATTTTTGGTTTATCCAATACCATAGTAGATAACTGAAAATTGGAAAATATAAGATCAATAATAGTAGCTGAATTGAAAGTAGATCTTGTTGGAGACGTTATTTTTTGTTCTAAACCTATGAGTTTCATATTATAAATTAATTTATTTGTATAAAAACTATTTTTTGACACATCCATATTAAAATCACCTATTACTATTAATTTACTTAAATCAGTCCATTGTTCAGCCAATTCTACAATTTTCTTGGTAAATTGACTTATTTTATTGCTAGGAGATCTATATATATTACACAAGTAGAAATTATCGCTCTTGCCATTGATTTGCACGCAGTTTATCCAAGTGCCATCAATAGCCTGACTCGAATTATAAACAATTTTAAACTTTATATTTTTTAAAATATAAGTCATAACACCACCTGTTCTGTTGTTATTGGAGTCTGTCCGAACCATATCATAATTAAGAAAAGCAATTTCACTATCGAGTATATCGTCAGTCACATGCGTCTCATTTAGACATAATATATCTGGCTTACACTCATTTATTAAAATGTCAATTTCATCTTTATGGCTAAGTAAACCACATACATTAACTGCTACTATACAAAGAGAAAGAGATCTATGAACTACTACACTGGTTTCTTTTTGCTATTGATTATCGTTGTTGTACACTCTGTTTGTTATTTTTTCTATGTAGTTTTGTAAATATTTACATTTTAAATCTGTAGCCTCATGATGTGTAATAATATTTTCAGCTCCTTGTTTTTTTGACAGTTCAATACAATTTACGCAATTTGTTGTTGTGCTACTACAGGCATTTTCATGATGGTTATTTGCACACTTTCTACATTTTTCTTCATTTTTGCATCTATTTGCTATGTGATTAATTCCCCAACATTTAAAACATCTAATCACATTAATGTGATCATACACCTTATAAAAATTCCATCCATATCTGATTTTACCAGTCGATATTATTGATTTGTGTAATGATGGATTTAGTTGAAGAATTATCGAGCAAGAACGAGTGGTTTTATATTTTTTTAATATTTTAATTGTATTATCTATATTTATATCGTTATTTGGCATATGACAATTATTTTGCTTTATAATTAATTAATTATAATAATAATAATAATAATAATAATAATAATAATAATAATAATAATAATAATAATAATGATAGTTGATCGATGTGTCATACAAGATGCGATCTACTATCAACGCAACCTTTCAATGGCCTGGATCGACTATCGCAAGGCATTTGACTCAACTCCTCACGAGTTGATCCTATATCTCCTCAAGTGCCTAGGGGTCAATCCTGAAATAGTGGAATGCATTCGGCGTACAATGGAGCTCTGGCGAACGCGTTTTCACATTGGAAGTGGAAACGCATTGCACATAACCGGAGTTGTATATTATCTTGTACTATTATCTTCGTCATTGCTACGGTATTGATGTGACACCAGTGCTGCCTTATCTGCCAGGAGATATTCCCCGGGTTGTTGAGAATGACAGTTGCAAAATCTATTGGAATATGCCATTTGCAACAACCCGGCGGATAGATCCCAACAAACCTGATATTGTGCTCTTCGATAAGGCTACTCGTGACATTTATGTCATATAGTTTGCGGCCCGGGCTGAATACAACATCTCAGCCAAAGAAGAGCACAATAGACAAATATATCAGGATCTCCTGTTTGAAATTGGTAAACTTTACCCAGGTTACCGTGTCACGCTTGTCGTCCTGATTGTCGGCGTCCTTGGAGGGATTAAACAGTCTTTTGTATCCTCACTTGCCAGAGTTCCAGCTTGCTCATCAAAAGCTGAGTTCTTGGCAGTCAGGATGCAGAAGGCTGTGATACTAGGTTCCCTCCGTCTACTTAGGAAAATGACTTTGGCCTGCTGTGATCACTAACCGCCTTGTTGTGCGGAGTGGTCCAGCAGTAATGGATGGAGCTCAGGCTGGGCCCTCGGAGAGTCGGACTCCGGGGACAACCCCCCTGAGCATTTAATAACATAACAATAATAATAATAATAATAATAATTTATTTAAATAAAAGTAAAAATAATAATACACATTAATTTCCAAATCTTAAAATCTACTTATATATACCCCGAAAAATTGCATTTGATATCGCATGAAATAGCCTTCAATTATTTTCAAAAAGACAATTTTTCCGGAATACTTACACTAAGTGAAAAAATTCCTTTTGAAAAAAATGAGCAATGTTGTAATGAAAAATTAATTTGTTGCAATTTTGAAACAATTTAATTTCTTAGCTGAAAAATAACAATTTTTCTCACAGGAACTTTCTTGTTGAAAAAAAGTTTTCTAGATTTGAGAAAAAATTCGCACGCTGTCTCTCTAAAATTTTTTTTCTCTGCAAGAAAATTGACTGATACAACAACAATGTTGATTTTTGGGCTAAGAAATAAAATAAAAAATTTTCATCAAATTAATTTTTTATTACAACATTGCTCATTTTTATTCAAAATAAATTTTTTCTCGAAAATTTTCTTAATCTTAATCACTTTTTGTCCTTAAATAACTACGTTGAATCCACTAATAAAAGTTTATTTGTTACATAATTTCCACTGGTCCTGAATTTTACTAGAAAAATTCAAAGAAAAGGAGTTTTAATTCGAAGAAATCCTTAGAATACTTTTTGTAAAATCTCAAGTTGTACAATTAATTTTTTATTATTGCAATACAATAGTTCAAGTTTAAATTATAGCCTCTATAAAAAATCTGATAATGAAAAAATAATAAAAATTGAATTTTTATTGCAAAATAATAAGGTGTAATAAAATATGTTTGATATATGAATAAGAAATAGATTAGCACACATTTTTTTTTTTTTAAGCTATCGGATTTAGTTGCAATGGTCATTGTCAAGGTTATAATCGAGCAAGTTGTTACTCAATGATTGCATAATTGTGTAATTACTCAAGATGAATTCAATTATTGTTATTATTATCTTACATCAATGAGTATACTTGCACTCAGGGCAATTACCTAAGAAACAATGTTTAATACACGAATCTATTTTTACTAACAAACAAATTAAAAGTTAGCAACACAGGCAAAAATATTTTCCCTTATATAATCTTATCATATTATTATAACAATAATAATAAAAATAGCATCTATTATCAAGTATCGCGTGACCGAATTCGTTGTATCTGATAAGTTTTAATACAATCAAACAAATTTAACTTAAGGTATATTAATATCTTCTTTTTTTTGATAAAATTTTTTGCAATCATCAATCAGTTTGTCACTTCAACAAATAATTTTTTCGCTAAAATTACTTTGTTGTGAAATTTATCAGACAAAAAAGCATCGCTTTTGTTAAAAAATTTAATTGCCAAAAAAATTATTAACTATTAAAATTTATTTTATTAAGATTTCTTTTTGTTAAATTTAATATTAAGTTTTTGAAGTTAAAAAAATACAAATATTTTTTTTTTTTTTTATTAAACGCGGAAGTTGTGTAACTTGTACAAAAATATTACGTTACATACGAATTGAGTCAAAACAAAGAACTTTTTGATAAAATTATAGAATAATAATAAACTAATTACGGCATAATGGTAATAAAAAATAAAATATTTCTCACGTAACTTGGAATGACGCGGATGGAAAAAATTTAATAAATTCATTAGTGCACTGATTGTCTATAAATTTTTTTTTTTCAAATATCTGATAAAAAAATCGTATGAATATCAAAGTTTCATCATATTGACACATTACTTCCACCTCTAGAGTCTGACCTTCCGTCGTCGTCTTCTCTCTCTCTCCCTCTTTCCCTCTCTCGATAAAACTGAACATTAAACATCGCAGATTGTACATACATACCTGGTAGGCAAACCTACCAATTACCCTGTGGAATTATTATGCAACAAACGTCAATGGTCTTATCAGTAAATCCAATTTGCATTGCGGTGATTATCTATCTAATCTGTACAATTAAAATCAATCGATAAATTAATCATAGGAACAATCCAGTATTTTCATCTCCATTACCACTATCGAGAAAAATAATTACTAAATATTTATGTAATTCAGATATATGTTCAATTAATTGTAATATAATGAGGACATTAAACATAATTTGTTTGAAAATTAAATTCGGGTAAGTAAATAATTGTTTAATTCTTCAAGTTTGGTGCAATGGAAGAGAAAAAATTAAAGACATTTAAATGAAATACAATATAAATGTATGCAAGGACTATCGAATCAATGTTAATCTTAATTGAAGGATAAGCAGTATGGTAATAAACATTTACATTGATGACTCAAATGAATTTAGACGAGTTAAATGTCTCTAAGACATTGAACTTCCGGAGATTAATGTCCTTGATACAGATTTCTTAATACTTAAAAGGGGATTTATGTTTTATGTTTGCAAGTGGGTGATAGTTACCCTCGGGCGACAGACAATGTTCTTGAATTCTTGAATTGTTCCGCCTTCAGATCAATTACTTTTTTTTTTTATTTATTATTGTTTATTGTTTGTTTGTTGTTTTTTTTTTACATTTATTTATCAACAAGTAAACAATGTTACTATTTAGATCCTGGATTGTGTTCGTTCCTTATTAATTATTTTACTTTTTTCAGTTTTAATTACTAAGATCTTTATTGCATAATGGTTTATAATCAGTTATTTTAATAAGAATTAATTTATTCTCTTGAATAACGAGTTTCAAGTTTTATGCATTTGTAAATGGGGCATTACATACCAAAAAAGACCAAAAGAGTATGAAACATTAAATTTCGGATCTACTGAAAAAAATTTTGTGTTTTTCTTGTAGTTTTTTATTTTTTTTTGGCTCTTCATTGTTGACTTTGTAAAAGATATTAGAATTTTCAGTAATTTTTTTTGTTTTAGTTTTTTATTTTCATTGAAACTTTCAGCATAGAATAAAAAATTTATTAAAAAAAGTTTTTAGTGTTAAAATTTTGCTGTTGAAAGTTCCATCCATTTAACAATTTTTAAGTGAAGGCAATTATATTACTTATTAAAAATGATAAAAGAGTAAAAAATTTTAGAAAAAAATGTTTTTAATAGATTACAGTACGCTCTTAGTCTGAAAAAATCAAAACTTATAGGTAAAAAATGATACATAAAAAAGTTATTAACTCTGATTTAATTTACTTTTCAACAATTTTAGCGTAGTAAAAAAAGTAATATTAATAGTTTGCCGAAAAAATTTGAAACATTTTTCAGTAAAAAGAATCATTAAAAATTCGAATAAGTCGAAAAATGTTTATGTGTAAGCTCTACAAAATAGAAGTGAAACTTTTGTTTAATGTAACATAATAAATTATCTATATTATAGATACAGATAATCAGTTTTTTGTACTCAAAGTTATAATGATAATTAATTAACTGCTCACTTTTTGTGAAAATAAAAAATTACAGTTATTCGGAAATTAGTTTTTTTTTATTATAATATTTCTTAAAATTTTGAAACTTTGGAAAATTAAGAACAAAATTTTAAAGATAAAGATTTTCATTTCGAAATAAAAAAATTGTTTCAGCAAACTGAAAAATGTAAACTTTGAGAATTTCAAACGAATTACGACGTGAAAGATGTCAGATGTTCTTACTTTAGAAATTGTATATAAACAAAACAATATTGTGTATAAATAAAATAATATCATTCTTTTTTTTCAAAAATTAAATTTCGAAAAAATTCACAGGCCGAAAAAATTACTTTTTTTTTGTCAAAACAAATTATGTTCACTAAAACATTAATTATTCATGCAAAATATTTGCATGAAGGTAAATAGTAAAAAAATGTCAATTTAATTAACTTTTGTTTTAAATTACAAAAAATTTGCTAACTTGATCACAAATCATTATAAAAGTCAATCTAATTCTAACAGTTACTTTATTATGATTGATACAGAAAGATCATCTTATTTCAAACTAGATAAGAAGTAAAACAATAAATCATTTCATTTAAATTTATTCCAAATAAGACAACTAAGAAAAGTTTGTTTATTTACTAACCACATAATTTATGATTGAAAAATAAATTTATTTTATTTTCTTTAAACACATAAATTATGTCAAACGGAAAACATTATCATTATCACGTATTTGGAATATTGAATAATCTTATGACAAAATATTAAACAAAAAAAAATTTTTTACAACTATTACTTCGGAATTTTTAACGATTAGCAATAATGACAATCGGTGTCTACTGCAACATGAATATAAGTATATAAATGCGAGTGTAGTCCGAATGCTCTCAGTACGAGTTGAAAAATTGCCGATAGTCAGTGGTTGGCTTTTATTAAGGATTATTAAAAAAACAACGTACATTCACAAGTTACTTTTATTTTTTAATTTATTTTAATAAATTAAACTGATTTTACTTTTAAGTGATGGTTTTTATAATAAATGGTGACTTTTACTGTGATTTTTAAAATTTGGTTTCACAATGCTGTAAATTTCGATACCGAGTGATTTAATTCTATTTAAACATTATTTGATAGAAAGGTAAAGTTTTTACGAATTGGTTTTTTTCTACTTTTAAAGCGACTGAAAAAATTAATGTAAAAGATGTTGATTAATTCTGATAATTTTTAAATACGAGCGACTTATTTAGTGTAATAAAAAACTTATCCGTTTTTGCATAAGAGTTTAATCTTACACAATGTGGTCAATTAAAGTTGGTGTGTAATAGTGAGATAATAATAATAAGAATTGTCATTATTGTTTCAACAATTCGTAAGTTAGTGCTTGTTAAATTGGCAAAACGATTTCATTGTTTAATAAGTCGTTAAAAAAGTTTGTTGCAAAATATTTAATCCTTCATGGGATAAATCGCTATTTATTTTAAGTAGTCCGAAAAAACAGACGTTTAAATATTGTTTCGTATTAAAGTTTCGTTGATCTTTAAAAAAAGATTTAAAAAAAAATTTTTTGACATTAAAGTAATTTGGTAAAAATTTTCAAATTAAAAAAATATTTTCTTTTTTTTTAAAAAACTGTTAAAAAATTTTAAAAACTTTTCAATGAAAATAAAATTATTAAAAAAATTTTTTTTTTTTTAAATTTACATTTTTTTTTATTTTTTCATAAAACATTTTGTAAAATAATTCTTTTTTCACTAAAAAGTCACATTAATTAATTTAAACAAAATAACGAAGCAAAATTATTTACAAAAAAGACACGTTTTAATTTTAATAATACACAACCTGATAAAAAAATCATCGCACAACAATTTCCAACCGATATTTTGTAAGCTTCTCTCTATTGAACCATTAGTATCGTTCATTGTACTACAAGAATTAATAATGTAGAAAAATTTGGACAAGGTTGCTTGAAAAGGCTAAATTGTTGCATACATACCCAAACATTTCATAAATTCAACTTTATCAGGCAAACTTCAACTAAAACAGACGTTATTAATTAAAATTTTTTTTATTAGTTTCCACTAACTTGTCTTCCTTTCACTCTGTTAAGGATCGAAGGAAACGAATTACCATTAAATAACAAAAAACAAAAGTATTTATTATTTAATCAAAATATCTCAAGCATTTTGAGTCATTGATAATAGAGTCTTATCATTCAATTTAAACGAAATTACTCATCTTACACTTCTCTTAGTCTGTTATGCTTTCGTTCCATTCATAAATTAAATTATGCTATAAAATTTCTCGTGACTCATATTATTAATTTTCAGCATGTGATCAACATGTTACATATCTCATTTAAACGTATTGTCAATTATAATTTAATGGTATAGGTGCAACTTGTTTATCGTTTAGGAAAAAATTCAATATGCAGGATCAAGCGCGATACTGGTGGAAGTTACTCTATGTTGCTGACGCCAAAGGTGTAAGTGTTTTTTTAACAATTCCAATTCGTAATTAATAATAATAACAATAATTTATGATTCAATGTTAATAATTTCAGATAATTGCCGGCTTGGCTGCGCACTCTGGTCAAATATCGGTCGGACTATCGCAAGGATTCAGTGCGATATTAGTGCCAAAATTGTTGAAATCTAATTTTGCGGGCATCAATGAAGCATCATGGGTAGCTTCATTGGGGGTAATTTCAAATCCATTGGGGGCATTTATTGCCGGGATAACTGCGGAGTGCATGGGTAGACGCTCGGCAATAGCATTGGCGACATTGCCTCATGTTACCGGTTGGTTACTTATCGCATTCGCGCATGACGTACCGACATTATACGCTGGAAGATTTATTGGCGGCATCGGTACTGGGATGGCTAATGCTCTGTATTTATACGTAACTGAGGTAGTGTAGAGAAAAATTTATTATTTTTTCTTGATTGATAAGTAGTGACTCGCGGATATTTATTACTCATATTGAACAAATATTTCCGCTATCGTTCACAGAAAAAAAAAATGTTCTTGAATCAAGTATATAATTTTGAAGAACTTAATATTCTTGATTTGAGTAGAAAAATTTTTGATTCAAGAAAATTTTACTTGGTTCAAGAATTTTTCTCTTGAATCAAGTTAATTTTTTTTTCAGTGTTAGATTATACTAAACATTTTGTTTTTGGTTGACCTAGTTATGATTTACACAGAAAAAAAAAATTTACTTGAAGTAAATAATTTTGAAGATTTTCATCTTTTTGATTTGAATAGAAAAATTCGTAAACTAAAAAATTTTTCTTGAAAAAGAAAAATTCTTTCGAATTAAAAATTTTTTTTATACGCCCTATAAAGTCGACATTATCATTATGGTTTAGAAATGTATAATTGACAAAAATATTTTTTAATACAACCTTAATTATGGCTCCCAGTTTAAATACATTGAAAAATTGCCATTAAATTTTACTATGGGTGTATTTTATATCGCTCGACTTATATGAAACTGTCGATAATTTTACTATGGAAATCCTAAAAAGTTAAATTCAAGACTAAAAAATTTACAAGTGTTCCATAATAAATGTTTGCGCGTCCGTACTATAATAAAGTTGTTCGCATGCAAGTAAAAATTAATATCATTTTCACAGTGATAACATAAGAGCTTTAAAAACATCAATTAATAGTTTTGATCGTTATAACTAAAGTATTTAAATCAGTCTTTTCTAAGGAAAAAATATTTTTTTATGTACATCTACTTAGATCAATAGAGATAAGAAAAATGCGATCGAGATGTACGTAGATGTAAGAAAATATAAAGAGATCACAATTGTAATGTCCGTATAAAAACTTAGATCTAATAAGCTGATATATGGAGATCTTGTAATTGATACTAGCAACCTGTAGTCACTATGCGATTGCCGAGATTTACAGATTATAAATAAAAAAAACGTTGGCCTAATGATTTTTAGATATTTTTATAGTAATAATAGTGCTGACAGGATCAATTATGAATATGTAATTTAATGGAAAATACGTGAAAAAATTTATAGAACCAACAAGCTATTTAAAACTACTTCAAAAACTTAACATAAAAAATTGACTATTACTGAAAAATGTATAAAACCTTGAAAAGGTGAACATTCTTGTCAAGATCTTTTTGATGATACTAAATTTAAATATAAAAATTCCTTTCAAAATAATGATATGCTAGTCACAAAATTTTCCTTACTCTTTCAAATATTTAAATCACAAATGTTTATCGCTGAAAAAATATCAAAATCCATTTACAATAAAGAAATACCCGTCACAAAATTTTTCTTAGTCTCTTAATTATATAAATTAATTTTTGATATACAATTACATCCACATGGACAAAATAAAATAAATAAATAAACAAATGACGTTTATCTGTATGTTTCATATTCTGAAAAGCATGTGAAACATTGAAACAGCACAAGTTCAAGTCAAGAACTTTCTGATAATACGAAATTTAATTTCAAAAAATAATTTTATCATATAAATACGCCGGAGACAAAATTTTCCATATTTCCTTAATTATAGAGATAACCTGTGAATATTTTGATTTGTAGATCGAAGTAAATATAATTGTGATATCATTATATCTCCTTATATCTACGTAAATGTTGCTCGCTATTTTTTTTATCTTCACTGATTTACGTAGATCAAAGATATTTTTTCCCAGGTATTTTACATAAAACATTTACATATTTTATTAAACCATATTTTGTTTGTTTTAAAAAGCGTTTTTCGAGATATGATAGAAAAATAAATTTATGAACATATCCATAAAATATAGGTACTTATTATAATAAATGAATAAAAAAAACGTATAACACAAATAAAAATGAATATTTTCAGTCTTATTGGTGGAAACCATAGTTGAATTATAATTTAATTTATGAATAATTTGCATTTCAAAGTTTATATAATTAATCGGTATGATATAAAGTAATAATTATATATTTTTTAAAACGCGACACTGTTTATTTGATAGACTTGTTAAATAATTATAGTAAAAAATAAAAGTGAAATCAGAATTTAATTATGATATCACTTTTAAGCTACTTGGGGACTTGAAAACAAGACCGCTTCGAGAGAATACGTATAACACACATGATTATACTCTTCTCTAATTAGATTTCTCTTAAAACCATCTTCCGCAGTAAATTACTGAAATCCTAATGCGTAATTCAAACAAATAATTTGACTATAATTCTGTCAGATTCGCGAATTCAATTGATATCTTAATAAGTATATTAACAACACTCTCTTGGAAAAATTTGATAATTATGCAGACAACATCATAATGATTCATAACGCAACTTTAAGAAAATTTTGCCTTTCAGATTCACCAAAAATCCCAGGTTAATTGTTATTATTATATTTGTGCATGTAGAAACATATTTGACCTTAAAAATTTATAATTGTATATAACCATACATAAATATATATGAAGACGTGTGATGTTTGATTATAAAAACCCAAAAAATTTTAAACTTCCCGCTATAGAAATCAATGATTTTCAAAAAATTATAAGTAGTTATTGGTTTTACCTCGGTTTTCGAAAATCTAGTTTTTATCAGATCTTCATGTTTCGAGATCATAGGCAGCAGTTCTAACTATTTTTACGAGGATGTCACTAACAACGTTCGAACGGTTTGACAGATCAAAACAAGGCTTATGGCATTCGAAAAAGTTATATTGCCATTAGATTTCATGCTCTGAAAAAAAAAAACTTAAATCAAGTGAAAGATTCTTAAGCAAAGAAAATAATTCAGAAAAGTTTCATTGTCTTGAATCAAGAAGAAGCCCGTGCAAAAAAAATTCTGATCCAAAATGAATTTAAGATTAAAATCGATTTTTAGATAGAAATTAGCACGCCTGTAGAACTTTCGATTCTGCTTCAGAATTTTAATAAAAACTTGAAAATATTTAGGATAAATTTTGTCTATAAAATATATTTACGTCTTTATAAAAATTCTGAAACAGAATCGAACGTTCTACAGGCGTGCTTATTTCTAACTACTAATCAATTTCAAATTTAGATCGACCTCAAAACTAATTCATATATTTGTGTCAAAATATGAATTTCAATCTTAAATTCATTTTGAATCAGAATTTTTTTTGCACGGGAATATTCTTGAATCAAGTACAATTTACTTAAACTAAGAAAGAATTTTTTAGTTTAAGAATTTTTCTACTTAAATTAAGAAGATGCAGTTCTTTAAAATCATTTATACTTGATTCAAGTAAATTTTTTTTCTGCGTGAGAATTTAAATTAGTTCGGCAAAATTTGCAAAATAGTAGATTACATACCTAGGCCAGTAAAATAAGAAAAGTCTCAGACCACATGTAATTGTTGGCCGAGGCGAAGCCGAGGTTGACAAACATGTGGTCTGAGGCTTTACTTTTTACTGGCCAAGGTGTGTATACTATTTTTCTGCTCGACGTAGCCGGAATGTGGCAACTTTGTTTAGCGCAGCGGCCAGAAAGTTGCCACTTTCCGGCCGGAGGGCAGAAAAAATTTTTTTTGGCATAAATTTTAAATTAGTGTATCGATCAATTCTAAAATACAATCAGCTCTTAATCTTAAAAAGAACTTCGATTTTTGCAAACCACATTAAAATCGGTTAATTCGTGCGATAGATATTATTGTCGAAAAAAGTGTTCTTTTTCGCATAACTTCGGAATTTCTCGCCGGATGGTATTGCAGATAATGAGTAAGCTCTTCGTGCTGAAAAAATCGCGTTTAATGCCGCAAACCGTATCAAAATCGGTAAATTCGTTCGCGATATATCGCTGCCAAAGAAATTCATAAGTATCATATTGACATATGTTTCAGTAATATTATTACATTGGCTTAGTATTTTTCCTATACTTTTTATAATATAGAGTAATTTAGTAGTAATACCATATAAATAGTAATTTTGCAATACGTACAGAAAAAAAATTGACTATTGAATATCAAGAATTATGTAGAAAGATGAAACCGTTTTTGAATAAAGTAAAAATTTCTTTAACCAAGAAATTTTTTTCTTTGTTTAAAATATTTAAAATTTTCATAAATATTTTCTTGAAAAATGAACATTTATACTTCATCCTAAAATTATTTTCTTTTTATGACCCGGACTCGGAATCGAACCCATATCACTTCAGTTTCTTGCTAGGTATATCTGAGCACACGTAACTTTTAACTAACAATATCTTTATTTACTTTTAAAGTATATTTCAAACTTAATTTTGCTAAACTTAATATTAAGCTAGCGATAGTTGACAAATTAGTCATTTCTTTCTCATGATGAAATAATTTTTAGTTTAGCCATAGCTGCACTAAACAATTTTTGCCATTCGATAGGATAAAACTTTTTCTCTGGTCAAAAGCTCGATTTACTTCTGTAACAATGAAACTAATAACTTTCTATTATAATAAAAAATATTTATGTAAAAAGAAATACCTCTATAAACATAATTTTCATATTAAATTAAATTACAGGCAGCAGCTCCACACCAAAGAGCCTGGTTAGCGTCAGCGGGCCCAATTCTGGTATCCTTTGGAGTCTTAGGAATTTATGCGCTTGGTGCTTTGACAACTTGGCACAGTAGTGCTGCGATAAGTATAATTCCAGCAATAATTTCGTTAACTCTTACTAGAGTAATACCTGAGTCACCAGCATGGTTAGTCCGCAAAAATCGGCTGAATGAGGCCAAACAAGCATTGTTGTGGCTTCGAGGCCCTGGATTGGATTGTGAAGACGAATACAAGCAACTATGCACATCAAGTATTAAACAGTCGGAGAAAAAGTCTGAAAATTTATTAAAAGTGATCAAAACAATATGGAAACCATTTATAATCTTGTTTTTATTCTTCGCGCTTCAACAGATGTGTGGTATTTACGTAATTTTGTTTTACGCAGTAAATTTTTTAAAAGACATCGGCACAGATATTGACGAATACGTCGCTAGTGTTGGGATAAGTATAATACGACTTGCGGCAGCTATTCTAGGAGCGGGCTTGGCCAACCATTTTGGCAGGAAAAGCCTCGCATGCACCAGTGGATTGGGCATGGCTTTGTCATCTGGTGGAATCGCACTTGCTATAAAGTATCAAGGGATACCTAAATGGGTGCCATTGATATGTATTGCACTTCACGTTGCATTTTCGATGATAGGCTATCTCACTCTACCTTGGGTGATGACATCCGAATTGTATCCCCTGCAATATCGCAGCACTGCTGGAGGATTAACGACAGCGATTGCACAAGTTATGACTTTTGCTGCTGTAAAATTCTATCCGCATATGAATAGCTTGATCGGATTTGAAGCAACTTTGTATATTTTCACAGTAGCGGCTTTGGTCGGTGCATTATTTGCCAGCTTCATTTTGCCTGAAACTAAAGGCAAAAGTTTGGAAGAAATTGGCAAAGGATTTTCGTCGTCGAATCTGCAAAATAATGTCAATAGTAGTATTATTGTTTCTGATAGATTTTCAACGATACCTGATGATAAGTATGTGATCTATCCAAATGATATTGTTGTGCCTAAAGAGTACAATAACTTAGGAATGGATTTGAGTGATGAAAAAGACGTTGTATTGAGTTCTAATGCTGTAGGAAGCAATTCGGATACTAGGGATGTTGGAGTTTTCAAAATTTCTACTTTAGAACATGGTTTTATTTGAATATTGCATGTGCGGAGGGGAAAATCGACATGAATAGTCTATTCATAATCATGCTTTGTTCATACAGTAGAAAATTTGTCAAGAATTACCATTCTTGACTGTTTTTAGGTATTTATTTGATATTCTTTAGTTTAAACATAAACACACTTTCATGCGGCTTAGAGATTCGCACTCTAGTTATAAGATTTCATGACAGCAAAGAATTATTAGATACTCATGAGTCAATATTGACACATAATTATGCATGCCGATTTCTCTCTAGGTATTTGTTGCTGACAATCATTTTGAAATGATAATAATAAGACTTTTAGATAGGTTGTTTTTTAAATGAATTTTTATATTATTATACAGTAATATTTTTATAAATTGTGTGATTAATCAAATTTACGTATTGTGCCAGAAAGATTGATTTTGGTTTGAAATAGTCTAGATTGAATGGTTTGTGAAATTAACTAGGGATGAAATGGCTTGAAGAAATGCTTTTGCGCACCTTATAACGCAAAGCGTTTGAGGTAGTGATCTACTCTCAACTTGGTAAGGTCAAGTGACTTTTGGATATTACACTGAAAGAAAAGTGAATAGTTAGCTGAATTATAAGTATAACATCACAAGTGTAAAAATATAGTTTTCTGAACGTTTTTTTTTTTGTAGTTACTCAAATTATGCATTAGTTATATATTTTAATTAATATTTAAATGTTATCGTGTTAATTAACAAATTACTAGGTGACTAAAAGGTAATTACAGACAATGTCTCAGATAGCTTCACTGGAAAAGCTCTTGAGGTGCAGCCAAAAAATTTAGGTTCGATTTTCGATCCAGGCTGCCCGAATTATTTTTTCGGTCACTGAAAAATTCCCACCGAGTGGTCTCTCTTTTCTCTTTATCTTTTCTCTCCTTTTCCGAAATTTGTCATCATTAACTCTCGAAGGATAATCGAGTTATAGTAACTTAAAATGTAGAAGTAGACATACTGAGTTCAAGTGAACCAAAATGACTATTATGCCCATATTTAACTAAAAATATTTTGAGTAACTATGATTTTGGGGTACAGTATATAATACATAATTTTATAGGTATAAGAACTTCAATTAAACAGTGGTGATACTTACTAACTAGGTTTTCCTAGTTTAGAGAATCATATTTTTCTCCCGATGTAAATGTTTTCATTATTTTGTTTTTTTTTCTTTCTAAAATAGTACAATCTAGTTGTAGAGAATGTCGGACGTACTCACTATCCCATTAATCCTGTCCATTGCTAGTTGAAATAAGGTAAAAAATATTATTTTACAAAAATTTTCTACTGTCAATAAATTACGATAATTAGTTACCTTCAATACACAAATTGAACACACACTTAAAAATTGAATTAACATTTACGATTTCCCTGTTTTATTTTTAATTAGGCGGGGGTGGGGCACGACGGTCCCCTTAAGCCGGTTATTTCTTTTTGTGATTTTTAACCATCAAATTCGTTTATTTTCTGTCTATTTCGATTAAATCAATCGAAATTTATTTTTCGAGTGGTCCATTATGTCCTATATATCTCATATTGTCCCAAAATATCATAAGAACATCATAGAGGTCATAACTTGACATTTAACATAACTTGACGGAAAATGAAAAAATAAAAATTTTTACCCAATTTAAAAAAAAAGCCGTTGTGTCCCAGTCTTCTCTATAGTAATGCAGTTTCTTAACAGCCGATTCCTTCTTTTTCTCGCGTCGCACTCACCGTAATAAGGGTACTATCCTTGTTGCACTCATGATTATAAAGCTATTGCAGTTTTATGTTTTTCTTTTCAACAAATGAGAATTGCGAAAAAAAAACGCTCTGCTATAAAATAGATAATTAAAAAATCTATTACGCAGCAGAGCGTTTTTTTCAAAATTCTTCTTTGTCCAGGAAAGAAATATAAAGCTGCAATCGTAAGGACCGGCTGTTAAAATAAAATTTCTCTTTTAAAGATTTAAGACATCAGTTATTATGAAATATATTTTTATATTATACAAATTTAAAAATTTTAAGGAAGTTCAGGGCGCAACCACGAAGCGCTTTCGAATTTTCGTTATAACTTTACTAATATTGAGAATTTCGGTCTAAAATTTTTACAGAGTATTGAAAATATCTATTTTAAACATATATTTTATATGAAACTTGTAAAGCATAAACAGCCATATGAATGACTTACAATTAATATTGCAACGAATATACAGATCAGTATTAATTACATATAATGATTAAAATTGTATATAAAATGTATAGTGTAAGTGTTTAGTTATTATTTTCAATCATTGTATCAATGATGAATTATTATTGTTATGATTATTAGTTATTATTATCGTTATTATTATTAATTATAACACATGTATTATACTCTTTTGTACGTATTATATGGTAATAAAATATGATATATTATTATTGTAATCAAATAAAATTTGAAATTGAGTATGTAAAGATAAATGATTCACATTACTGAACCCCTTTATAATAGTCATATAATATAAAAATAAAAATATAGGTATGGTTCTACTTACTTTTAATTGTAATGATAGCCATTTACCGCGAACCGAAGGATTTGATTTATTGTAACATATGTGTTCTGATTAACCGCGACCTAGATGTAAGATTAACTAGATATGACTCATAATATACCTCAACGTACCATCATCATCATTATCCAATTAATATAATTAAAACTTATGGATTTTTAACATTTAGTATTATTATTATTATTATTATTATTACAAGATAAAATACTGTTGAACTTAAAAGGACTATTCCATAGGACTTTGCTCCAGTTACTAGAACATGAAAATTAATTATAGTGGATTTTATAAGGTGAAGAAATAATTATTGATTTTATTGATAAATATTTGTTGTTAAGAAGAATTTAAAGGAACGAATTATTTATTTAGATATTACAAAATATATTTTTTCTATAGTATAGTGTTGTAATGTACTCGTCTTGTTAGTTTTTAAACATTTGATTCATTTAATAAAACCCAGATACTTATAAAATGTCCTAGAAGGTTGAGGTTTCTTGGCTTAGAAGAGTCTAGATTTTTTAGTACTTTAAAATTTTTTTAATTATTCGAGTACGTTAAAAATCGTATAAGATAATTTTATAATCTGCATGAAAGAATACATTGATTAATTATTTTTTGGAGACAGAAATATAGCATTGCTTGAGTTAGTGGATTATAGTTGTGTATTTACTTTTTTAAATGAATCTAATGACAAATCAACGAAGTGTCCCGTGATGAAAACGACAGGTTGAGATGTTTTGCACATTATAATTAACATCGATTTCATTATAGTAGTTCTTGAAGAATGCCAGTCACTATTGTAAATTTCATTACGGAGGTTTTCAAACTGCAATTAAAATGTGATTATCAATTATCAATTACATTTCTTTATTAATTAATTTTGATTATAGTTTATTCTATTTATTTCTTATAATTAAACGAAATTGAATATCGTGATTCCGAAGGATCTTATCATCTTGGATCTTATCATCTTAGTTAAAAAGACGATAAAGTTTCGATAGATATAATCAAATTTTTTACCCAAGAGCAATTCTCGAAAACTATGTATATCACCAATGTTATTTTTTTTTCTAACAACCTTATATTCTCGGTTAAAGAACTAGTTTTTTCATTTAAAACACTTAGTTACTTATTTATTCACTAAACGAACGCCAATCGACCATATTCATCATGTAACAGTAGGAAATATAACATTAGCAACGTCTGACCTCTACACGAAGAGAATTTAATGGTCAATACAACTATCCGAGTATTGTAAAAACAGGCTTCTTAGTATTAATGATTGAAAGAACTATCCAAATTGTTAACTGAACCATCCAGATAGTTACATTTACTATCTGGATAATAATTATTACCATCTGGCTGGTAACTTAAAGATGGTAAACTTAATCATAATATATGTTAACCGCTAAAATCATGTTGATTGTAAATTCTACAATCATGATGGTAATTATTACCATCGCAGCTAGTAACATGATTAGTCACTACGTGACTTGTGAATTATAAATTAACAAAAATTTCACTTTATTAAATAATGACTTTTGTTAAATTGCACTGTACTTTTTTAAATATTGACGTTTTTGAAGATATAAGCTCATCCCAATGTTACACTCATCAAGAGTTTTTATTTGAGTATCCATACGTATTTTGATATATTTTTCATATATAAATATATAAAATATATGAAAAATTGATGTGGGTATTCAAATGAAAGGTCTCGATGAGTGTAATGTCTGGGTGAATTTATATATTTAAAAATGTCAATAGTTTACAAGATACAAGGTCATTTCTTAATTATTGATATTTTTAAAGATGTAAGCTCATCCTGATGTCACACTCATCAAGAGCTTTCATTTGAGTACCCACAAGCATTTTTGATATATATATATCAAAAATTGATGTGGGTACTCAAATGAAAGGTCTCGATGAGTGTACTGTCGGGATGAGCTTATATCTTTAAAAATGTAAATAGTTAACAAGATAAAAGTCAAGACCTTTGCAATGACACTAAATTTCACTAAAAAAACTAATTTTATCATATGACTATCCTGGAGACAAAATTCTTGTTATTCTCTTAATAATACAGATATACTTTTTTCAATACTCACTCTTATGTCAAACATTAGAATGTTATTATATTCTGATTCTAAAATCGAAAAATTTCAGTTTTTTATACTTCCTGTGTAGTTTTTATGATTGCAATCATGATGATTTTAACTATCGCCGATGGTAAAAGTTACCATCTAGATAATAAACCGTATCATCATAATTGTGGGAATTAATATATACTGATTGTACTAATTACAATCGCCGGATAGTTGCATATATCATCTTAACTTTGCAAAAGTTAACCATCCTGGATAGTAGAAGCTATAAAATAGAAATGGTTACCGTTAACATAAAATTCTCTCCGTGTATTGTTTAATTCGCTCTGCTTGACCGGTTTAATCGCTAAATCACAAAAGCCGTTGTAACTCCAAAAATAATTCTAATTTTCTAATTACAACTTCACAGAAACGAATATTAATTTTAACCTGGTTTCACATGCAAAAAAAATTTCTTAAATTTATCCCTGATAAAAAAAAAGTATTGAGAGAAATGAAAAAGTATTGAAAAGTATTGGTTTTCTAGTCAATCCAATACTTTTCAATACTTTTTTCTTTGTCTCCATACTTTTTTTTATTTAGGGATAACAACAAATTATTCTAATTGCGAAGTCTTATTCATACATTCATTAAAAAGCTCTGTAACAGCGTCTTTTAGCTCACACATACACCATGGAACTGCAGTCATGCACGGAGAATATATAAAAATCAACTAATATTTTTTTAAAAATAAAATTTTTACATCAACAAGTGCATCATTGTAAAGTAAAATTATTCCGAAGGACTTTTTATCAGCGATTTCTTTTTTTGAATGAAGAAAAAATCTTGAAAAAAGGAAGATGTGATGAAAAAAAATATTTTCTTTGTACCAAGTAATTTTTTTTTCTGTACTAAATATAAAAATGCAAAAATGTTCTTTACCTCTATTGTTACCTGCTGAGCGGTGATACATTGTAAAAACTGTTGCGAACACATGACAATAAAAAAAAACACATTTGTCACAAAATTCAGATCATCGATTTGAGTTTGGGATAACATGTATGCGACAGTACATAATACAACTGTATTTGTAACGTAATGAATGAATACCGCCTTTGAAAATAGTATATTGGTAAATTTGAATAAACTGAAAAAAAATATAATCGGTTAAAAAAAAAATTCAGTAAAAAAAAAATTTAATAAAAAAATATTTTGTATTTTTCCAGTCAGTTAACAATAATTTGTTTATATATATACAAAACTAAATACATTACTTGAGAATAGCTATGTGATTCTCGACCCAATCACATAACAATTGCTGTTCAATTTTCTTTAATTTATCTTCACTTAAAATTTGTTTGTCCGTAGAAGCAATAATTTCCAATTTTTTGATAAGTAATTTGAAACGATGTTGAAGTACAGTGAGCTTACCACAAACTTGGAACATCATTGTCGGCAAAAATACATTAAAGCCTGCATTAACAACAGCAAGAATTATGACGGAGTACATTTGTTCGACAGCTGTGCACCAATAAATTACGGGGTTCACCGTATAATTGTATGGAAAGTATCCTCTGTAAGGTAATCCATACGCCGTATTTATCGCAACAAAATGTCTCATTGTATACCACGCTATTGAAGTCATCCCTAACTTTGGAAACCAAAAAGTGATCATTCTGTAGAATATAATTATACAGCTTATTTTACTTAAAGTTTTTGGTAGAGAGGTTTATCATTTTCAGACAACTGTCTTAATTATGTTTACTGCTGAAAATTTTGAAAAGTATTTTACGAGATTAGCGGTACCTCGGCTTCGCCTCGGCCAACGATTACATGTGATCTGAGACATTTCTTACTTTACTTCCCTCGGTGTGTAATATATACTATTAATCATTTCATATCTGCCGATTTTCCATTATTTTAAAAATCATTTATAATGATTAATTGCGAAATTTCTAAAATGATTTACGTGATCTGAAATGATTAATTTCTTAATCATTTTTAATTTTAAATCATGCTGGTTAATCAGGGGAAATCATATTTTGAACTGCTGCTAAACATTATAATATAGAGAAGTAAACATACAATAGAACTATCTAAAAATGATCTATTTTTTCGAATTACAGAAATCAACAAAATATTTGGTTATCTTAAATCAAGAAGTCATTTTGCAAACTCATAAATTAAGATTCGTAGATCCCGAGTTGAAATTTTAAGTGTCGTTGAAAGTACAAGATAAACTTTTATTTCATCCAAGAATTTTTTTTTTCTTTTCGATAAAAATACGCAGTAAATTAATTACGCTAAAATTACGCAGTAAGTTAATTAAACATTTTGTTTCAAAGTTTCTTTTGCTATTTTAAATGAAGAAACTAATTTTTGAACGAAAAATATATAACTCTTAGCAGAAAACAAAATTATTATATTGTACGACTGAAGATAATATATTTTTGAATCAAGAGACAATAATTATCGATCAAAGATATTAGTCTCTGAATCCAAGACAACGAAATTCAAGACAAGGAATTCTTGAACGAACGGGATTTTTCGAAATAAATTTTTTGATTCAAGCTAAATTCTCTTGAATTAAGTTAATTTAATATTTTTATATTTAATATTAAATAATATTAATTACCTGTCAAGTCGATCATATTTCGCATGAGTCAGTTCCTCGTCAGCGTTTTTCAATCGAAGCGGATGAATTTGCAGTTTATCAATTACTTCAATAATATCCTGACGATAATTTAGAATGCTAGTTATTTTTGGAATGTTTTGAACATATCCCACTACCAGTGACACGTGATCAACCATAGCAATAAATTCAAAATTTTCAAACTCCATATCCAGTAATCCAGATGTCAAAAATGATAAATGAAAAAATATTACTATACTGGTGTATAAATCGTAAGCTCGTGCTTTTAACCCTTTCCATTCAAGAGGTCTCCAAATGCCAGCATAAGTGAGTACTTGGAAACTCTGAGGTAGTTCGATTCCCATATTGCCATTTGTTATTTTTTGCTATATATCCGCATGCATTGTTTTGTTTCAGACAAACAATGGACTAGTCGTCACAAAATACGAACTTACAATGTAAAATCCAGAAAGCTATTATTGTGCAATTTAAATTTTAATACTTAATAGAGCAAGCTATTATATACATTAAGTGCTTTTTAGTTAAGTAACAGATGATTAATAATTCAGAGGCATTTTCAAGAAAATTACATAAATTACGTACAGTTATCCGTAATACTATTTTGAAATATTAACATAGAAGTGATATACGATAGGGAGATTTACAAAATTTACGTTCTAGTCATGTATTAGTTTCGTATAAATTTATATTGCTTTGTTATACATGTGAATCTTCGTCATTTCAATGAAAATTCAATAATATTATGTGACTATTTCACAGAATCCTTAATGTTGGTTGATGATTATTCATTATCAGGTATTTCCGACTAACATTCAAATCAATAGTTTGTGAACAATTGATCTATTTACTTACCAAAAACTTATGTGTACTAGGATCTATAGTAAGTATTTGTTTGAATTCTCTTTTACCTGATCATTTAAGTTTTTCGTTTTATTTCAGTCTTTAATTAACAATTATAATGACAAAGGTTATACTTTTTTTTACAATAAATTATAAACTCTGAGTAATTAACTACATCATGGGTTTAGTTATTTTTGATAAAATCATAATTATTATTTATCGATTGTATTAAGAGATTTTTCTAAGAAACAATACAAATTCCTACTGCATAACTTTTTTCACTGATGATCTTAGATGATTCATATTCACTTTTTTCTCCGGAGAACAGATTACCCTTCAAGTACATTATAAATAGTGTACGACAATTTGAGGATCTAAATAATAAAAATTAAAAATTATGAATAGTCATGAACCCATACTTGCTTAAAAATAGAAGGCAAAAAAAAATTTCTGCAACTCATGTTCGATTTGTGGAAGGATAAATAACATAATAGAGAAAAAAAAAATCAATTTTTTGAATCAAGTCGTTTGAAGTTAAAAAAAAGTTAGGTAAAACCAAATGTGCATGCATTAAGCGCTCATGACATTCAAAACTTAGACCTGATTAAATTTGAGAGTTAATCCATCGAACCATTCCGAAAAATTAAAAAAAAAAAAATTTGAATTTTTATGTTTTTTTAAAATAACTTTAAAGCGTGCGGAAAAATCATGATAAAACCATGTATACATTTTTTGTGCTTAAAAAATTGCGTAGAATGGATTTTTGAAAATGAAAATCGAACGACGTATTCAAAAGTTATAGTTGGTTAAAAATTCACAAAATTTTGTTTTTCGGTATTTTTTTAAGATATCTTTGAGATTTCGCAACCAATCGATACAAACCTGTATGTTTTATTTTTGTACTTTAAAAACTGCGTCGAATGTTTTTTTAAAAAAGAAAATCGAACGACGTATTCAAAAGTTATAGCTGTGTAATAAATACACATTTTCAGCTTGTTATAATTTTTTTAAAATAAAATTCTTATTCGTTAGCTTCTAGTCACCCTAATTTTGTTGATTTTGATGATAGTAATAGCGAAAAAATCAAGATATCAATTTGACATAAAACTTAGTTTTTTACAACTTTTATTCGATATTTTTCATTCTAGCTCTTACCCCTTTTGTGCAACTTTAAATTAATGTTTAGTAATTTTAATAAATATTCTTAACATTACGTCCATACCAAAAAAATGTAAATGTAAAAGTTAAGTTTGGAGCGAATACCAATAGAAAAAATTTCTCAGAAAAATAAGCAAATATACTTACTCTTTTGAACGAATCTAGCGATAAAGTTACGAAGTATCCACTAACAAACTCAACTGGTATTATTGACTTCGACATTATTATAATAATTGACTTTTGAATAGTTATTCTTGCAGCAAACCAGTTGGTGCTAAAAATCATATCACGAAGATCTTCAAACTAAAAAATTAAAAAAAATTTTTTTCAAATTATCAGTTTCCGTAAATAGTTCTGTACATACCAAAAAATATTTCTATAAATTAATTATTCCGAAAAAATTTTTTTAGAAAAATTTACTATAGATTTGAGAAATAAAATCTTAAATCAAGCCGAAAAATTTTTGAATCAAGAATTTTTTCTTGATTTAAGTAAATTTTTTGTAGTTCCAGAATTTTTCTACTTAATTCAAGTCGATTCTTCAAACAATGCACAAATTGATATATTTTACCTCCAAAGTAATTTGATGAGCAGAAGAACATTGCAAATATTGTTGCGTACATTTAACAGAAAAATAAAACACGTTACCAATAAAAATGTTGTCTATTTCACAGTGACTTAGGATATACGCAAGCGTACACATTACAATCGAATTGATGACATAATGAATGAAAACAGCTTTTGCAAAAACAGATTTCGTAAAATCATACAAGCTGAAATTTAAAAAATTACTTAAGTATTTTAATATCCCGAGTCAAAATTAAAAAACTAATTTCAGCCTGCAAATTCTACTCGAGGGTAAGGAGGCTGAAATCAGTTTTTTAAATTAACCCAAGCTGTACGGCGAAACCTTAATTTCAGCCTAAACTTGGTATTTTTGTCCGCTTTTACCAAGTTTAGGTTGAAATTAGTATCAACCGACCGTTTATACAGCAGTGACTCAACTTTAAAAGTGCATTATGACTTTCCACCCAGTTAGCGATAAGTTGATCTTGATATTTTTCAGTCATCACCATTGTCTTTTTCGCAATATCTTCAACAGGGTCATCCGTTTGAACATTATCGGCCAATTGCTCCATGATAATTTTGAAACGATGTTTGAGTATCTGAATTTTAGTACAAATTTGATACATCGTTGAAGTGAAGACTAAATTGAATGCGCCGTTTATACAAATGAGACTGGACACAGAGAAAAGTTGATCGAGAGCAGTCAACATATAAATATTATGACTGCTGGAATAATTGTATGGTATTCTCCCTCTATAAGGTAGGATGATTGGTGACTCCATGGCAAGGATACGTCCTGTTGTGTAATATACAAGAGATGCTGTTTGTAGCGCCGCGTAACATAGGAGAACAAACCTTTAAGAAGGAAACAAAAGTTGTTATGAATTGTTATCTTGAATCAAAATAATTAGCAAATGTAATAATAGTGTATCCGATAAGTTTAAAAAATTAAGGTTTTATTTTTATTCACTAGTTGTACAAGCATCCAATCATAATTGAATTGAGGTCGTGAATTTGAATCCAGCATCACGATTTTTAGTAGTATTTTATAACAAGTAGTTTCATTAATATCTGAGCATAGTCATTCAAAATATATGATAGAGCGATCATTGATATTTATTAATTGTAATTACTACTCTTTATACTAAATAATGTCGGAAAAATCAATTTTTGAAAAAAAAAAAAAAAAAAAAGTTCGTAAAATTTGAAGAAACATTTTACCAAATTTTATAAAATTGGATTTTACTACTAATATTTTCCAGTAAAAATTTTTTTAATCTTTCGTTGAGTTTTATAATAAAAATAATATTTTTTTTTTTATATATACGTCGTATTCCACACCAAATCTACTACATTTGAATCCGACCACTTTCAATTTTGAAAAATTTTTATCGTTTTTTGTTGCACTGAAGATGTTTCTCAGAATTTTTTCAATGTTTTTTTTAACTAATTACCAACTGTTTAAAAATATAACTGTTTTTTGTTTAAATCGTAAAAATGAAACATCCATTTTTAACAATTTATTTGACTTTTGGAAAAACCGAAAATATCTCGATGATTGTGATTTGTTTTTAAAATATTTATAACCTTGTTTGGTTGATTGAAAAAATTTCTGAAAACCACCTTTATTAAAATAAAAACCGGTAAAAAAATTAGGAAAACGGTTGACCCTGAAGGCCATCCCTGCAACTTCCCGCCAATTCTATACCTAAACGCTTGAAATTGCACTTATGAAGTTTTAGAGCTCTTCGAGCTCATAAATACAATTTGTATATTATTTTGAGCTCTCCGAGCTCAAAAAAATAGCTTTTGTATGCTTTTGAGCTCTTCGAGCTCAAAAGTTTGATAGAAGTTTGATAAAACACTATTTTTTTAATTTTCAAATCGCAATAACTTTTGAATAAACCGATTTTCACGCAGTTGGCGGCATTCGACGCAGTTTTTTAAGCTTCATAAAAAATCTTTGAGTTTATATCGACAGAGTGGAAAAATTCGGAGTAATTCCGAAAAAACGCTTTTTCGGTTTTCTTTCGTCAACGATAACTCACGAACGAATTAACCGATTTTGACCGGACTGGCGGCGATCGACGTAGTTTTTTGATGTTAAGAGCTGATTAGTTTTTGAAATCGATCGGTTAAGCTGTTTAAAAGTTATTCCAAAAAAACCACTTTTGAAAAAATTTTTTTTTGTAGTTTTTTTCCGATTTCTCAAAATCTATCGGTTCGAATCGGTTCAAACTTTCAGGAAATCTAAGTTTGGGCAAGCCCTTTCGAATGGCACCAACCGCGATCAAATCGGTCAAGCCATTCAAAAGTTATAAGAGGTTTACATACATCCACACATACATACATACACACACATACATACATACAGACATACAGACTCTACCGCGGGAATAGTCAGGGAAGCTTCCTAATAGGACCTCAAAACGTCGAGATCTGATGAAAACTCGATTTTTGTAAAACGGGGTGAAAACAGTAACTTCCCGATCTTCGATTTTCTTAGCGAGAAGTTAAAAATTTCAGTAAAATAAGAAGGCGTTGGGTTCAAAAGTAGATATCTATGATTTGGCGTGGAATGCCTTATATGTATAAAAAGATCGAATTGGAACAACAGTAAAATTTTGCATCTTCAATTTAACAAGTTTGAATTTACACAATTTCTAATAAAATTTTTTATCAGTGGTTATGCATTTTATAAAAATTTCTTCCGGTGAATGCCCTAATAGCATTTGTAAAGCGTGATGAAATGTACTTCTATGAAAATTGACCGAGTATTACATGCCTATTTGAAACATAGATATGTTGAATGTTTGCGTATATTAATTGTCAAATAAAAGCAATCCTTTTGAAATATCACTAATACATACATAACAGAAAAAAATTTTATTAAAACATCACTGATAAAAAATATTAAAAAAAAAAATGTACATATATTAAAACATTACCTGCTGAATTTGTCGTATTTCGTTTGAATTTTTTTTTCATCATCGTCTTTTAGCTCAAAATGATCATTTGAAAGTTTGTATTCTATTTCTATTAGATCACTACGGTTCAGTAGCATACAAACAATCTTTGGTGTATTTTCAATGTATTGCAGTATTAGTGTGATAAGATCAATATCGCCAAGAAAGTTAAAATGAGCATAATTGATTTCCATAATGCCGCATACAAAAAATGAATAGTTAAAAAATAAAACAATAAGTGTACATAAATCGTAAATTCGCGCTTTCAATCCTTTCCATTTAATCGGTCTGAAAAGTCCTAGCCAGGTGAAAACTTTCCAACTGTTTGTGATGAGATTCATTTTTATTTTATTATTTATTGTTTAGGGTTGAAATACAATGAGCAATAATACAGTTACAAATTTTTAAGATTATCAGTCAATTGACACAAACATATGTCGCGAATAGGTATTAAAGGTATGGTGGTTGTTTTCTGCACTCCCCTATTCGAGTCTAGGCACCTTAATGTCTAAGATCGGACATTAATTTGCTACAACAAAGAGACAATTATGCAATTTTATAATTAACTGTACCTAGAGCTACAGAATTCTAACCAAAAGCCATTAAAAACGAATACCATATTCAAATTAAGATAATTTGTAAAATAACTCGTAATTGAGATAGTGGTTTATTATTCATTGCGTACGGTAGAGTTTAGTTGACATGCGCTCTGTTTTAACTTTTAAGTCATATTTTAATATTTCGCTACATTCTAAGGAAGAAAATCGACAAAATTTTATTCGTCTTCGGATAAGTTTTTAATTTTCTATATTCGACATTAGCATTATATGATGTTTCATCTTCAAAAGTTAAGACTTGCAAAACATTATTCACTACACACAATAAACAATTTAATTTATTATCATGAATAATCTAATATTTTTATAGTTAAAAGTGTGTAAAATAGTAGTACATTGTTAATTAAATAGATTTTTGTCGCTAGGATGATATATATTGTGTTCAGACATATAAAAATATTTACTTAGTAGTCCAAGCATAAAATTTTTTTTCGATCGAAACATCGTGTTGATAAAGAGACATACTTAATTTATTTTTTTGGAAAATGAGAATCATTAATAAATAAAGATTGTCAATTCTATTTTTACTTTTTCATCCACATGGTGTAATCTGAATTCAGATTAATGTATTCGGAAATTGAATAGTAAAATATTTTATTTTAATATAGTATTAATTACCTGTCGAGCCGATTATCATTCTGCATGAATAAAATTATTGTCAGTCTTTTTCAATCGAAGTGGATGAATCGGCAATTTGTCAATAACTTCAATCATATTCTTGACGGTAATTTAGGACGCTAGTTATTTTTGTAATATTTTCAACATATTCCACTATCAGTGACACTTTATCAACCATAGCAGCAAATTCTAAATTTTTAAACGCCATATCCAGTAATCCAGATATCAAAAAATGATAAATAAAAAAATATTACCATACTGGTGTATAAATTGTAAACTTGTGCTTTTAAACCTTTCCATTCAAGAGGTCTCCATGTGCCACCATAAGTGAGTACTTTGAAACTCTAAGGTAGTTCGACTCGCATATTGTCATTTATTATTTATTGTTATACCCCCATGCATCTTTTTGTTTTAGACAAACAATGGGCTAGCCGCCACAAAATACGAATTTAAAATGTGAAATACAGAATATTATTATTGTGCAACTTGGATTTTAATATTTAATAGTAAGGATTTTATTGTTAATCAAATTTTGGTAAGGTAACTGTTGATCATTAATGAGCAGGAGGTTTTCTTAACTTCTTTTTTTATTTTGGTTTGCATCAAAATTCTACTTTATTTCATTGCAGTCTTGATTAATTCTGATGATAAAGTTCTACTTTATTTTACAATTAATGATAAACTTGAAGGGATTAACTACATTGTGAATTTAATTATTTTTTATAAAATTTCAATCATACTTTACGAATTATGAATAACACATTTTGCTAATTCTATGAAATTACATGAATTATCTACAGCATCATGCTTCACTAATTATGAATCCAAATTTCCTCTTTTTCTGACGAACAGATTATCCTTCAAGGACATTATAAATGGTGTATGACAATTTTATAATCTAAATAATACATAAAGAAAATAGTAACAATCACAAATATTAGATTTAGTATATAATACAAATTTTTTTAATAACTAATCAAAAATCTTGTTAAGAATTACGATTTAGAGCAATCGATACCGATCAATTTCGGATTGAAGTGAATCGCATTTGATCATTGAATGATAATTTTTATTACGGTTTGCAGAATTCAATGGGAATTCTTAATAAAGGCAACTATAATTCAACATGATATAAAAATTTTTACTCAATTTTAATCGGTATCGTTAATTATTTTTTGGTAAAAATTTTTCAATACGGACGCTTCATTTTTTAGATTTAAACTAAATCTAAGTAATTATTTATCATACTTACTCTTTTGAAAGAATCTAGTGATAAGGTTACGAAATATCCGCTTATAAATTCAACTGGTATTATTGATTTTGACATTATTATAATTATCGATTTTTGTATTGATATTTTCGTAGCAAACCAATTGGTAGTAAAAATCATGTCACGGAGATCTTCAAACTACAAAATGAAAACAATATCTTTTTGAAATATCTGCTTCGATACGGAAAAAATAATCGGTAGAGGGATCTAATTGTTTTTCCGCATAGCTTATTGATAATTTCTTAATAATTATGTAACTAAATTTCTCAATTTTTTAGACTCTATAAATGTAGCATTCTATTAAATATCAGTATTTTATAAAAATATGATGGTACTTTAAAGGCAAAAACAACTGTGGTTTTCAGTCTTCTCCTCTATTGTCTGTCAAAATAAATTACATTTTGAAATGCAAATATCTTATGTTTGGTGAGGTCAATCGATTTCAAATTTAAATGACAGTTGTATATTAATAATTTTAACAACTATACAAAAATTTAGAATTTTCTGATTATGTCCTAATAGTCATGACAACTCTCTTTATTAAAAAATAACAATACATAATGTTAAAAAAAAAAAAACGCTTTTTCTAAAAACTAAATATTATCCTTCTCTGAAAAAATTGAGATTCATTAGTCTGTTCATTATTAAATGCATGTGTGGATTAAGAAGATAGAATTTTTATGAGTAAAGGTTGAGTTATTCGAAATTGACCTCTAAGAAAATTTTCAATCAACTTTATATATTTAAAATAAACAAATATTATCCTTCTCTGAAAAAATTGAGATTCATTAGTCTGTTCATTATTAAATGCATGTGTGGATTAAGAAGATAGAATTTTTATGAGTAAAGGTTGAGTTATTCGAAATTGACCTCTAAGAAAATTTTCAATCAACTTTATATATTTAAAATAAACAGAATTAAATTATGCTAAAAAAGTGTTTTTTTTTTTTTTTTTTTTTTTTAATAATTGAGAACTTTTTTATGGTACAAATTTAGTATCAATAAAATCAAAATAATCGTAATTGTTCTGTTCTTATATCAGATTACATTCATAATCAAAGAAAACACTTTTTGCAAACTGGTATTCACACACGTATTGCATATTAGTTTTAATACTTGCAATTTGTAATTACTATATAACTGCCGGGAGTTACAAATGATCGATAAGAAAATTTTTACTTAATGATTTTTCGATATTTTTATCATGACATATATAGTTTGGGTACTTTGAAATAAATTAAAAAAATAATTTTACTGACAGGATCAATTATCAATAATTTTATGGACAAATGTGACGGAACAATTTTATAGATAAAGGACAAATAAACTATTCAAATTTGCTTCAAAACCTTAAATATAAAAAATTGACTATTACCAAAAAATACATAAAATCTGAAAAAGTAAAAATTTAGGTCGACTTTTCTAATGATACCAAATTTAACTATAAAAATCCCTACTAAAATTAATATATAAAATTATAAATATTATTGAATAATTGTTTAAAAAAAAGATACACAGATCGATATACTTTACCTCCAAAGTAATTTGATGAGCAGAAGAACATTGCAAAAATTGTTGTGTGCATTTAACGCAAAAGTAAGACACGTTACCGAAAAAAATGTTATCTATTTCGCAATGGCTCAGTATATACGCAAGCGTACATATTACTATCGAATTTATTACGTAATGAATGAAAACAGCTTTTGCAAAAACGGATTTTGTGAAGTCATACAAACTGAAATTTAAAAAATTATTCAAGTATTTTCATATACCAACAAACCGTATATTTAGTGGCTCAACCTTAAAAGTTCATTATGACTTTCTACCCAGTTAGCGATAAGTTCATCTTGATTCCTTTCAGTCATAAAAATTTTTTTCTTCGTATCGTCTTCGACACTATAATCTATTTTAGCATCATCTTCCAACTGCTCGATGATAACGTTGAAACGATATTTAAGTATTCGAACCTTAGTACAAATTTGATGCATTGTCGAAGTAAAGACTAAATTAAATGCGCCATTTATAGCAATGAGACTTGATACAGAGAAGAGTTGATCAATGGAAGTTAGCAAATATATTTCATTACTCGTGGAGTAATTGAATGGTATATTACTCCTATAAGGTAATAAAATTGGTGACTCCATGGCTAGGATACGTCCAATCGTGTAATATATAAGTGCTGATACTTGCAATGTCGCGTAACTAAGGAGAACAGCCCTTCGAAAAGAGAAACAAAAAAATTTGTAAAAAAAATTTAATAGTTTCTTATGAATGTTAGGAAGATTACCTGCTAAATTTATCGAATTTTTTTTGAATTTCTTTTTCTTCGTCATCCTTCAGCTCGAAATGATCATTTTTAAGTTTGTATTCTATTTCTATGAGATCATTACGATTCAGTAGCATACACAGAATCTTTGGTGTATTTTCGACGAATTGCAGCATCAATGTGATAAGCTCGATGTCGGCATAAAAGTCAAGATGAGTAAAATCGATGTCCATAACGCCGCATGCAAAAAATGTGTAGTTGCAAAATAAAACAATCACTGTGAACAAATCGTAAATTCGTGCTTTTAATCCTGTCCATTTAATCGGCCTGAAAAGTCCTAGCCAGGTGAAAACTTTCCAACTGCTTGTAATGAGATTCATTTTAATTTTATTATTTATTGTTTAGGGTTGAAATACAATGAGCAATAATACAGTTACAAATTTTCAAGATTATTAGTCAATTGACACAAACATATGTCGCTAATAGGTATTAAAGGTATAGTGGTTGTTTTCTGCACTCCCCTATTCGAGTCTAGGCACCTGAATGTCTAAGATCGGACATTAATTTGCTACAACAAAGAGACAATTATGCAATTTTATAATTAACTGTACCTAGAGCTACAGAGTTCTAACCAAAAGCCATTAAAAACGAATACCATATTCAAATTAGGATAATTTGTAAAATAACTCGTAATTGAGATAGTGGTTTATTATTCATTGAGTACGGTAGAGTTTAGTTGACATGCGCTCTGTTTTAACTTTTGAGTCATACTTCAATATTCCGCTACATAAGGAAGAAAATCGACAAAATTTAATTCGTCTTCAGATAAATTTTCAATTATCTATATTTGATATTACCATTGTATAATATTATAGAATTATATAATTGTACAATTATATCTTTAAAAGACAAGACCCGTGCAAAAAAAATTCTGATTCAAAATGTATTTAAGATTGAAATTCATATTTTGACACAAATATGAATTAATTTTGAAATCAATCCAAATTTGTAATTGATTTGTAGATAGAAATTAGTACCCCTGTAGAATATTTTATATATAAAATTTATCCTGAATATTCTTGTCTTTAATATTAAAATTCTGAAGCAGGATCGAAAGTTCTACAGGGGTACTAATTTCTATCTACAAATCAATTTCAAATTCGAATGGATTTCAAAACTAATTCATACTTGTGTCAAAATATGAATTTCAATTTTAAATTCATTTTGAATCAGAATTTTTTTTGCACGGGAACTAGCAAAAATTATTCACTACACATTATAAACAATTGAAGTTTTTTATCATGAATAATCTGATATTTTGCAACATTTTGATTCCGGGTTCTGAAAAAAATTATTTTTCTAGTAAGTTAAAAGTGTTTAAAATATCGTACAATTAAAGTACATAATAAATTTCTGATTAAATGTATATACATTGGCCACGTTCAAGTTTACTAAGTTCTTGGCAGATCTTAGCATATCTTGTAGCAACAACTTAAAGTAACTATATTGTTTTTTTTTTTAAATCTATAATAGAACAATGCAAGATATATTTATTTAAGTGCGTCTAACTATTAATTTTTTGATAGATAAAGTCAGCCCTGCTCAGAACTTAGTAAACCTTAGTGAACGCAGCCATTGACATGGATACAATGTATTATTCTATATACTATGTCTGATAAACTAGATTTAAAATTTTAAATGAATACATTATTTGTGGTAAATTTAAATAATATATTTTGCTAATAAAAGACTACTTTTTGTTACAGTTTTCTACAATGGTTACTAACTATAGTTGATATACAGTTTTTATAATAAATATCCAAGAAGATTTAATTACTCTAAGCATATAAAAAAGTACTACTTCAATTTCTAAATAACAATTTGTTATACAACTTAAGTCATTAGGGAGATTAACAGTGACATGATTTTCTGTAAACTATCCGACAAAGAACTATTCATGTCACAATAATTTCTTTCTACATATTCAGCAAACGTTTTTGAAGGTAAGTCGCATTTACGTTGACAGGGCCAAAACTCTTGGATGACTTTAATCTTGTTTTTTTCAGCAACTTAATCCATCAAGAATGAATAATTTTCACTCCAGAACATTGTAAATCGTATATGATAGCTTGATTATCTGATTGTAGGTCATAAAAAAAAAATTATTATTTAACATTACTTGGGATAATTGTAACACATTCTAAATGTATATTCGCACCTTTTTGAATGAATCTAGTGATAAACTAACAAAGTATCCACTGACGAATTCGACAGGTATTATTGACTGAGACATTATTATAATCATCGATTTTTGGACAGCCTTTTTAGTGGTATACCATTTGGTATCAAAAATTACATTACGGAGATTTTCAAACTAATTTAAAAAAATTTTACATTTTTTAAAAATGATTCTTAAAATCGAAGAACGAATAAATTTTAAAACTTCTAATTCGCATATACAAATACTTTTTAAAAATTTTTTTAAAATTAAGTACATGAAAAAAATAAAATTTTGAAAACCCGATAAAACAAAATCATTCATTCGGAAAAATTTGGTTCATTTAAAATATATTATTTATTTTTTTTTTTAACTTTTAATAAATATTTTTTTAAGAGAAAAAGTACATTTGATAACAGTTTAAAAATATTCATTAACAGTTAATATACATTGATAATTTTCACCGCAAAAAAAATTATAATTTCTTACAACCAATTTTTTTTATTAATAATTTTATTTTTTCAACTTTTTTTTTAACAAAACTATCAATCCATCTGACCTAACGAAAGTCTATTATCTATTGAAATTATGAGTCTATACAAATGAGTTGTGAGTTTTTATACAAATGTTTATTAACAGTTAATAAATATTTATTTGCAGTTAATAAAGCTTATTAAATAACAAAAAATTCTTCTATCAGAGTGAAATTTATAAATAATGTAAGAATTATGTTAAGTTAACATTCAATAAAATAATTTATTACCTCTATAGTAACTTGATGAGCAGAAGCACATTGTAAGAACTGTTGCGAACATTGCAATAGTACACAGTAAAATTGAATTAACAATATAATGAATAAAAATAGCGCTTGTGAATAACGTATTAACAGAATTAAATAAACTAAAATCATAAGTCAATCATTATTTTTCTGTTAAAAAAAATTAGTTATAATCACAATAGCATAGAAATTAAAATTTAATCAAATTACTTAACTTTAAAAGTTTAATATGACTTTCCACCCAATTTGCAATCAGTTGTTTTTGAGTTCGACCGCAGATTTTTTCACCCAGCTTATTATCCTCCGTATTCTCTAATTGTTTGATCGTCATTTTAAAACGATATTTGAGAATATTAAGTTTAGCACAAATTTGAAACATCATTGTTGGAAACAGAGTATTGAATGCCGCATTGATGCTAGCAAGACTCAACACGGAATAAATTTGTTCCACCGCTGTCAATAAGTAAACTTTATGGTTATTGGAGTAATTGTAAGGTATCCGACCTTTATACACGGAAAAAAAAAACTGTAGCTGCTACAGGTCTTAGGCCTGTAGCGTGTTCCTGTAGCAGCAACAGGTTAGGCCTGTAGCTGCAACAGGAAAAGCCTGGAGCAGCTACAGGCCTAGTTCTGTAGCTGCAACAGGAAAAGCCTGTAGCAGCTACAGACCTAGTTTTGTAGCTGCAAAAGGATAAGCTCCATTACAAGTTTTAAATTTAATTTTTTTGAATTTTATTTTTAAGGTTTTTCATAGTAGGACATTGATCATTTTTAATGTGTTTACGTTAAATAATTTTATTCTTATTTGTTATTCCTTGAAAATTTTTTAAGCCTAGACTGACAAGCGCGACCTAACAACTTTGGTCAAGTGATGAGGGATTTACCGTAATGCTTTTACAGCGTACAGTTTTGCCAGTTCATACACGTTTGACAGGCAGAGACTAAAGGTGTTTTTGGCAACGCCGTGGACAAAAAACTACTTACGACTCTGGTCAAGCAACGAGGAAAGCCCCGCGAATTTTTTTAAGAAATTTTTTTCAGCAATTTAACGTTTTCGAAGATGTTTGAAAAAATTATTAATATATCCTAAAATGTTCAAGGAACAAAGTCAAATTTTTTTGAATAATTTTAGTTATTATTGAAAATGTAATAAAAAAAAAAAATATAATTGAGCGTGGCAATTTTTTTTTTAATTTATTAGTGACTATTTAATTGGATTAGCATTTTTTGACTCTGAAATTTAAAAAAAAATTATGAGCAACCTTTCAAAATTTAAATTTTTAATTGAAACTTTCAGGAACTTATTTTCGTTTGGTCTATAAAATTATGACATAACGAGAAAAAAAATTAAAAAAAAAAAATTTCGATTTTTGAAATTTAAAAAAATTTGGAGCGACCTCTTAAAAATTTTATTTGAGCTGTTCTTTGGAGAGGGCTCTTAAAACATTAAAAACTGACATTTTTTCACTCGAGACTAAAAAAAAAATAGTCAGTTTCTGTGTGCCACCTTTTGAACAGTCTAGGGTTAAAATTCCAAATACATGCAATCACGTCTTTTAATCCAAGATTGATATTGCAGTAAAGTAAAAGACCCGAAAAATTGTTTACAAAATTATGAAACTTTCAGCTGATCCATGTAAAAGATAATTAACTATCAGCTGATCCATGTAAAAAACTAATAATTGATGTCATTATGTTGATTTCTAATAATCAAAATAAATTTTTAACTTGTAATGGAGCTTATATCCTGTTGCAGTTACAAAACTAAGCCTGTAGTAGAAACAGGCTTTTCCTTTTGCAGCTACAAAACTAGGTCTGTAGCTGCTACAGGCATTTCTTGTTGCAGCTACAAAACTACGCCTGTAGCTGCTACAGGAGTTTCCTGTTGCAGCTACAAAACTAGGCCTGTAGCTGCTACAGGCTTTTCCTGTTGCAGCTACAATACTAAGCCTGTAGCTGCTACAGACCTAACTTGTTGCTGCTACAGTTTTTTTTTTTTTCCGTGTGGTTAGTTTGCCTCAAGAAAAAAAATCTTGCGCTGAGAAACTATTTTGAAGAAACTTATTTTCTTGAGTAACCCGAGTCGAAAAAAATTAACTTGAATAAATTAAACAATTGATTTAAGCTCATCTAAGTTCATTTTTTCGACTCGGGAAGAAATCAAATATCTTAAACTCAGAAAAATATACTCAAACCAAGAAAAACTTTCTTGGCGAAAGTTTTTTAACTTCCCGCTAGGAAAATTGAAAATTTTCAAAAATCGGAAAGTTATTGTTTTTACCTCGTTTTTCGAAAATCGAGTTTTCATCAGATCTCGACGTTTTGAGGGCCTAGGAAGCTTCCTTGACTATTCCCGCGATGTGTGTGTATGTAAACCTCTCATAACTTTTGAACGGCTTGACCGATTTGATCGCGGTTGGTGCCAATCGAAAGGGTTCAACTAAACTTAGATTTTGAATACAAGTTGGATCGATAGATTTTGAGAAATCTTAAAAAAACTGCGAAAAAAAATTTTTTCAAATGTGGTTTTTTTCGAATAACTTTCCAACGGTTAGACCCCGATCAATTCCAAAAACTAATCAGATCTTAACATCGAAAAACCACGTCGATCGCTACCAAGCCGGTCAAAATCGGTTGATTCGTTCGTGAGTTATCGTTGACGAAAGAAATCGAAAAAAAGTGTTTTTTTCGAATTACACCGAAATTTCCGGTCTGATCAATTTGTGTTTGAAAATATATCATAAAATTTGAAAAACTGCGTTAAATGCTATCAACTGCGTGAAAATCGATCTATTCATTTAAAAGTAATTGCAGTTTGAAAATTTAACGAATAGTGTCTCATTAAACTTCTATCAGACTTTTAAGCCCAAAGAGCTTAAAAGCATAGAACAGCTGACTCTTTGAGCTCGGAGAGCTAAAAAACGTCATAAGTGCAATTTTAAGCGCTCAGGTATGGAATTAGCGGGAAGTTACAGGGATGGCCTTTAGGGTCAACCGTTTTCCTAATTTTTTTTTTTTTTTTTTTTTTGAGGCAAACTAACTTTTCTATCAGTGTATTGATAAATTGAAATCGATTATTTAATATTCGTGATCTCTAACTGAGATTTAATACTTTTTCAAATTTTATTTTATTTGGCGATTTGCACATTATCAAATGAGATGTATAATTTTGATTCAGTTTGTAGCATTTGACGAAATTTTTCAAGTAAAATTGTTGATAAAAAAATAATCCGATAAAAAACCTGGAAATCATTAATGGAAAAAGTCACTTTTAGCAAATTTTAAACAATAATAACAAATACATAATTGCACAATCCGTTAAAAAAATATTGCAGTATAAAATCTTCAAATCAATGTTGTTCTGAAGCAATACTCTTAGAGCTGTAAAATCAACTAACGGGTAAGTTTTTGAGCTTTAAAATAGTGGAAAGTGTCAAGTTTAACCGCTTTTCTAAAACTTTTTTTTTTTCAATTATTAGAAAATTAATTTATTCAAGCTCAAGAGTAGAGTCCTTGATGTATAATTCGTCCAGAAAGTTAAAGAATCATTGAAAAAATTGGAAAATTACAAAAATAATGTTCTAGTCCTCGAAGCACAAAGAGAGTCATTAGAAGTTGTGTTGTTGGTCAATTGTATTTATTGTTATTTGCAAACAATAAAAGTTTGGAAAATCCAAAAGTGCACGACTCATAATGCTCATTTAATTATAAAATATTAA